TGGCCACAAGTTCATGTACATGTATTGGGTGCATATGAGTGCTCATTATCTGAACAGTCTTTATTTGTAAATAAATCATGGTACCCATATGAAATGGTAGGAGCCGTGCTGGTACCCATATGAAATGATAGGAGCCGTCCTGGTACCCATGGTACCCATATGAAATGGTAGGAGCCGTGCTGGTACCCATATGAAATGATAGGAGCCGTACTGGTACCCATATGAAATGGTAGGAGCCGTCCTGGTACCCATGGTACCCATATGAAATGGTAGGAGCCGTCCTGGTACCCATGGTACCCATATGAAATGGTAGGAGCCGTCCTGGTACCCATATGAAATGATAGGAGCCGTCCTGGTACCCATATGAAATGATAGGAGCCGTCCTGGTACCCATGGTACCCATATGAAATGGTAGGAGCCGTCCTGGTACCCATGGTACCCATATGAAATGGTAGGAGCCGTGCTGGTACCCATATGAAATGATAGGAGCCGTCCTGGTACCCATGGTACCCATATGAAATGGTAGGAGCCGTGCTGGTACCCATATGAAATGATAGGAGCCGTCCTGGTACCCATGGTACCCATATGAAATGGTAGGAGCCGTCCTGGTACCCATGGTACCCATATGAAATGATAGGAGCCGTCCTGGTACCCATGGTACCCATATGAAATGGTAGGAGCCGTCCTGGTACCCATGGTACCCATATGAAATGGTAGGAGCCGTCCTGGTACCCATATGAAATGATAGGAGCCGTCCTGGTACCCATGGTACCCATATGAAATGGTAGGAGCCGTCCTGGTACCCATATGAAATGGTAGGAGCCGTGCTGGTACCCATATGAAATGATAGGAGCCGTCCTGGTACCCATGGTACCCATATGAAATGGTAGGAGCCGTGCTGGTACCCATATGAAATGATAGGAGCTGTCCTGGTACCCATGGTACCCATATGGAACATGTGGAATGGTAGGAGCCGTCCTGGTACCCATGGTACCCATATGAAATGGTAGGAGCCGTCCTGGTACCCATGGTACCCATATGAAATGGTAGGAGCCGTCCTGCATGGTACCCGTATGATTGCGTGCGGATATGTTGCAAGTGATTTTTTGCGACTCTGGAATGAGGCGTTGTTATTATCAACATCTTTCAGAAAGTGATCTTAAAATGCCACATTACTCAACTGTTGCATGTAATGTGAGGAATTTAACCAAAATACGCCATAAAAATCGCATTTAGATCTCACTTGTTTCATGCAATCAGTGGTGAAAATACTGAATCTGTGATTACGACGATCGCTGCCAAAGTGTAAACCCGTGTATTGGGAAGAATAAGACAAACTAGAGGTCAAGGCGTTTGTTGAGTTACATGTACAAACGCAATAGGCCTATAGAAAGTGCCCCCTGATTGGTCAAAATCTAGGAAGTCAAGAGGCAGGGTCTTGCCTAATTAATCAGCAACTCTATTTGCGCGTAATATTGCATAGACTACTGCTAGAGGGCGCCCTTTCAAATGATGACGTCATAATGCTGTTTTTTTTTCTTTATTCCGATCTAAACACATAATTTATTTGCTTATAAAGAGCTTCCGCTTTGGAGCTACCATATGTATTCAATTTTTATTGCACTTCCAGTAAAACTGGAAGTGAAGGTCAAGCAGTTTTGTGCCCGGGAATAACATGAATAAGAATTGTTGCCTGCGGCATCAGCACCTCACGTAAAAACGAACACAATACCCTATAGTCCTAAAGATATTGCTGAAACTATTTTCACAAATTTGGCCCTTAAATTGCTTGTAATTTGATACCAGATGACGTCGTGATGATGTCCTCGCGAGGGTATGTATGTGTGACGTGAGGTACCAAACGAGCTGAGATTTCGGTCATTCACCAACTTAGATTCCTATTACGACCATTTAGTTATTTCCTATCAGCTTAGATGTCAAGTGATTTTATTGTACATATGAGACAGACGTAAATTGAGCACGTAAGATTAATTACCAACTTTTATTTCTGTAGTAGAATTCACGATGTGCGATCGAAGGCCGCCATGTCTGTTGTGGAGCTGGCGGAGTAATTTGAGTAAATCCAGTTGGAACTGGCTGAGTTTTTCTACGGCCCGGGGCTGCGTATTTTCCAGCTTGGAGCTGGCGGAGTAAATCGAGTTACATCAGCTTGGTGCTAGCTGCGGCATTTCCAGCTAGGAGTTGATAGAGTTTAACTATTACAAGGAGCCGGAGTAATTTGAGTCATTGAGCTGACGCGTTGATTCAATAGATATTGCTGTTTCCTTCAGATGTCCCGAGGCTGAGGGAGAGAATCCTGGCAGTTTTAACAATAAATTATTTGTTCAATTTAAAGAAGAAGTGTCTTGTGTCTTTATTAGTTCTATTCTGGTACATGGGAAATAAGGCTGCCTGGTTGTATATTTCAACCAAACGAATCCGGGAAATATAAATTTATTGTGACTAATTGGCATCATTACATCAGCAAGGTGACGGCAGAAAGTCGTGGAGAGCGCCCTCTACCCCACCTCGCCCGGCCGCCGCGTTACATATGCACAAAATGCCCACCGTGTACATGTCACAAAGTATGCCAATTTCGGTGAAGCGTAGTACGGAGGGTATCGAAGTTCCAGCGCCCCACTCAGTAGAGCTAGGCTTACAACATGTACAACTTCTTAAACTTGTGCCAATGGCTTTAATGGAATGTACATCATTGGCTTTTGCTGTAATTTTCAGAAATGAACTATTTGAGGGTTTAGAAACTTAGTATAATACTTCAAATATTGTTTAACTGACATGTTTGAAGTTTTGTGTTCAAAAATGCTTGAAAAACCAAAAAACCCAAAAATGTTTAAGTAGTCTGGTTCCCTGACTCCACTAAAGATAAAATGGATCAATTTATAGCTGTCAGAAAATTGTATGAAACCTGAGTGTAAGGGAACCAGTCCAGCTGGCCTACACCTTTTGAACATGTAACCAATAGTAAAACAAATTTGGACTGAAAAAAAATTGTAAATTCGGAGCAATAGTTTAAAAATAGTTAATTTTTTTCCAACGGTGGTCGGCCGACCATCGTTGGAAATGTATACAAAAATACCATTTTCTTGAAAATGACTTGACACCAGGTGCCATAATTTTACAGGATGCTTTAGACTGTCATTTACCAACATCCTAGTAAGGTATTTCGTAAAAACTTGGTACATGTATAAGTTTTATTTTTCGATGTTTGTAAATGTTGTAAAGTCGTTTTCCTAGTTCCGGATAGCAAACATCATTCAGGCTGCTTTCAGCTCAACTACTCCACGAATTCAAGTGACATTGATTAAAAAGTTTACCTTGAGTGATGGAGAGACCATGGAGAGATTTAAGCTCTTTTTATTTTGATTTTACGACGTCAAAAGTACCGATGTCACTTTTCCTAGTTCCGGATCGGTTCAATCAGTTCCGAATTGATCAAAACTGTTCCACGTGAAAAAAAAAATCATGCGAGAAAATCTATTTTTTTCAGCCAGAACCAACCAAATCAAGCATATTTTCTGATTTTTATATTTCATTTTCCAAAAATAGTTCATTCAAAAGAATTCCAGCAAATTTCAAAAATAGGAGAACGTAAATGATTTTGAAACTTTTGTCAGCAGCGCAACGGCTCGAACTCACGCACGGACCGAAAATCTTTGCCCCAGCACAGAATACGTCACACAAAATGGATTAATGCCCGTGTAGTTGGGTCGTAAGTGCACGCGCTAAAGCATACGGTCATTCGTTGGAGAATTTTCAAAAATTAAACACTTTACAACTTATTTTGATTAAACAAGCATTCGCTGGAAGAGTTTATTTATGATAGTGGATATTTTGCCGGAGGTAATGCCGGCAAACTAACGTTTACTAAAGGTTTGCCGGCGGCAATCCATATCAACAGAGGGCGCTGTACTCTTTAAGATAGGGCTGAATTATAAGATGTATTAAATTCCCACCAAAAGTTGTGTAGCACGTTTGGTGTAATGGTTAAGCGAAAGCTCTAGTGAGCGGGATGACTCGAGTTCGAATCCGATCGCTGCCATATTTTTAATTTTTTTTGTTCCCATCCCCAAAAAATAAGAATATTCTTCTTTTATTATTTTAATATGTCTCAAACATTTTATTGCAGAGTATTACATTTTCTTTTTCAGATTTGTGGCTCTGGAGGTTTTTTTTTAAAAGGGAAATAAAGTCCGAAATTATAAAATGGTCTGAATCCCATCTTGTGAATACGAGGTTACAACGATAATATTGGCATGGAGCCAGACTAAAATTTGTCACCGGAAAATGTTTAAGTACAAAAAAACAGTAACTGCGCATGTTCAGTGCATATCCGGCAAACTAACGTTTAGGCCCCCTACTAAAGGTTTGCCGTCTCCGGCAAAATATCCACTGCCTTTATTTATATACGACTGTAGTGTATGAACAAAATGTTCAAACTCACACAGTACAAGTGATATACCGGGGGGGGGGGGGGGGGGGAATTTATCGTCGATTCGCAGCTCCTGTGATTTTCTACAAACATGTCGAAGTGCGAGTCGGAAATCTGGCCAAAATTCCTCTTTGTGTATCAAGGAGCTTACATTTTCCTTTTAAAAATGCACATCGTCAGAAAAAATTTATTGGAGACTAATCCAAAAGAGGTAGGCCTAGGTTTTTATTTGAAGCTATCCGGAACTAGGAAAAATCCGGAACTAGGAAAACGACCGTATATTCCCTTTAATACCGAAAACGTCAAAGGTCAGACCCTGGAGCTACAGAGTTGCGGGTGCCCAGACAGACATTTCAAAAACGTTGAAAACAAATAGTGGGACCGAGTGAGAGTGAGAAACATTTCCAATTTCATTATTAGGTAATACTTTGAAAATGTTCTTGACTCTCCATAGACTTTGTACACAACCGCTGAAGACTGATGTGGCGTCCGGATACATTCTTTGCGTATTAAGAATTGTTTTAATTTTATAAATTACATGACAACTTACGTTCTGCTTCTCATGCTTCATGCACCGCACCCGGAACTTACTCGCGTCAATCGCGCGCGACGCACTGCCTCGCCTAGCTACGTCTTCTACAGTTGATAGAGGGCGCTACTGCTTATATCCGTGAGGCGGGCGGGGACTGCATGGGGAAGTCCCTAGTATATATTGACTGGCAATGAGGTCACTAGTGCACGTCTATGTGCGCCCGAGGAACCCTCTTCTGGTCACTCACAGACCCGAGGGGGGCATAGAGGTGCACTAGTGACCGAATTATGCCAGTCCATATGTGTTTTATAACTCGCCTAGCTCTTGTCCAAGATATAAAATAAGAAAAGAAACCTTCCAGGGTTTTATTATTGAACTGTTTTAATTCAACAATTAACTCATAAGCAATTCAACTGTAAGCAATTCAACAATTAAAGGAGCGCTTTTAATTTCCCTAGATTAATATTTGAGTTTGAGTTTTGTCAGAGGGTGCTGTTACCAGTCAAAAATAGTGCCCGAGCAGGCACTTTACTCTGGAAATTACGCACGCGCGATGTCTCGATGCGCGTCTTGTTCATACACTAACTTTTATTAGTGAATCACACGTGACCACATTTCAGCCAACCAGGATAAAGAACAAGCAAGAGGTGTGTTATAATATACATATATAGACTGGCAATGATGCGGGCACTAGTGCACGTCGAGGGACTGTGACTGACCAGAAGAGGGTCCTATTTAGGGTCCCTCACAGGCCTGATGACAACCAGTAGCCTAATTCTCTGCCCCCCCCCCCCAAAAAATCTATACCACTGAGAATGTTTGTCTCAAAAATTATAAAAGTCTGTTATCAGAGTAAATGTACTGAAAAACATGCCTGACGAGTACAAATTGAGCCGACCATTTCATTGAAAAACTGGGAAATCGATTATGTTCTTCCACTTTCCGTAATGCTGAAAACCATTTTATTACCAGTATACATGATTTACGGCAGGAACAAACAGACAAATAAAAAAATAGTAGCTCCTTAATGCAGCCAACTGGCCCATGCCTTGATGGTCGTGGGTTCAAGTCCCAACTTAGTCAGCCTCACACTGCTGTAATAAATCACTAGAGCACTAAATCCTCATTCCCTTGCCTAGAATACTTTCTGACATGTCATGGGCGTGGTCATTATTATGTGTATGACCTTGCCTCCCACGACATAATGAAATTGAATGGAATTCCTGGAGCGAGTTCTAAATGCAAGAGCAGCCGCTGCAAAGGTGCGGTTTCATTTGAATTTTGGAACAAAAAAATCAGCTGGAAAATATATCACACGTGTGCATAGTTTGAGCAAAACGTAGTGAGATACTTCATTGTGTAAGGCAAGTTAGATCTATGGTAAGGCCAAAAACAAAAGTCTCCGGTTTCTGGTATGCGCGCGCGTCGCCGTAGCCATGCGCGTCGGCAAAATGAAAAAGTTTTTTTTTCAATACAGGATGATGTCTCAAAACCGCAAAACTCACTGGTTTGACTAGAATCCTGCTGCTGCACAATTTTAACGTGTTTTTAGATGGGGTTATGATCGAGAATAAGCTTTATGTGGCCTCTCTGGACTCCCATATATTTGCACTAAGTTTAGTTGGGCACCATTTGCAGTCATCAGCCGACATTTGAAGCCAAAAAAACAAAACAAAAAAAAACAGGTAAAAAAGAAAAGAAAAAAAGCCGCGTCGCCGCACCACTTTTGGGGCAAGCTCCATACCAGAAACCAGAGATTTTTTTTTTGGCCTAACAGAGCTTTAGCATTAAAAAGTATATCTACGTGTATGGTATGTCTTTTGACTCCAGTACAGGTACCCCTTCAACAGTTTCAAAGAGTTTTAAAAGACTCTGAGAGAGGCATTTGAACACCTTGACTGTTGCGCCTGATGCTCACGCTAATAAGACACCATGGGTTCCTGCACATTGAGAACAGTTGTGTATGTTTTGCACCATACACATAATATCCCCTGCTAACCGTCCCTTGCCCAACTGCTGCACTCATGAATAGTGACAAATAGTGTTGTCTACAGTTCATTCAAGCTCTTGGAATACACTAATTACACTTTTATTATGACATTGAGGGACATAACCCAATGTATAAAAAGAGCGGTTGGAATTGTTAAATCATTTCTTTACATTCTTGTGGAAGAACCTTGTTCAATCTTCGTTAAAAGAGTTGTTTATGATGGGAAGATGGAATGGCCTGTCTGCATGACTGTATTTTCATCAGGTAATGCAATACAGCAGTCACCACTTTGAAAAAAACATCTAGCATAATAGAAGAAAGAAAGAGCTGTGTGGATGTAAGTACAACTAATTTACCCAATTGAATAATAAACTGTTGAACTTTGACAGGTCCTTCCAGGACTTACATAACATCTAGATAAAAATAAATATGCCAAAGATAAATTTCTCTTTTTGAGAATCCTGTCACTCTGCTCATCTGAAGAAAATGGCTTTTGCAACCAACATGGTGTACTGCTCAATAAAATCCGACTGTTGAATCAAAAGTCACATTTTGCAAAGCTTCATAACTTCTTCCTTGGTCTCTCACAAATACTAATGTCTTACAGCAGAGTCTGCTTAGTTCTTGGAAGTGGATGGCTCATCTTGATGCAGTCCCATGAGGACATTTCAGTTCTTGAACCTTCCTTTGATGTCTCATCATCTCAGCACATTACTCCTGTACACTTTCTCCTTTTTTAACGTTTCCATCGCTATCCAAATACCAGTTTGAGAACGATGACGCTGGAGTTTACAAATATCAACGGCACTGCAAAGAAAGATCAGATAGAGACATAAGTTATGTGAGTACCAGCCAACAGGTTTATAACTCCGGTGTCCAAAATGTTAAAATTGTGTCCAAATTCACAATAAACCTGTAATACCTTCACATGGAAAAGTTTAAAAACTGTGTCCCCGGTCTGCAGCATTACTAATGTTGCTAGCATCGTGACTTTGGGGGTGTCAGGTTTATGGCTTTTGACTAGCACCCCTTGGACTAAGACACTGACAAAATGGGAAACCACCAACATTTGGCTGGATGGCTGAGTTGGTAGAGCACCGGAACGGCAATCTTGAGGTCAGAGTTTCAAACCCTAACCCAGTCACATTGTTTGTTCAACTTAAATTGTTATAATGCACCTGGTCAGTTTCCCTTAGCAGGTTATTACAAACCGAATATCAGGGCTGAATGATAATTTTCTTTACCAGAAAATTAGAAAGAAGCTAAGATGGAAATCAAATTGACATTTTGAAAGTGTGATTCGCACCAGTGCTGTTTCCGTGGATAACTGTTTGCAGGAAAGCTGAACTCAGCCGTTACTAGTTAAAATGCGTTGTTCACATCATGGAGCTATAGCTCCATGTTCACATACAAGTTTTATTATTGATAAAGTAAAAATGTAAAAATAAAATTTTAAAAGGAGCTGGACTCAAGTATCTGTGTCAGGCCTTTTGCACATCATTACTGCTGGGCGAGTATTCACGAGTAGTTTATTCTACTGCAGTACTCGTGATTCTAATTGTTGTTATTCATCTACTCAAGTACTCGTCCTGGCGCGAGTAGGAGCAGGTACTCGCGAGCAGCAATTTAGGGTTTAGGGTTCATGGCTTCATACGTCCCCTGCAAACAGGGAATCACCCCCTCCACCTCTCCCTAGGATTCGCTTCGTCAACAACCCCCCCCCCCCCCACCCCCCCCCCCAAAAAAAACCTAAATGACTCAAAACGTTGCACATTAAGGATAACTCAGTGCTGGGAAATGTGGTTTGACTTGCATGCTATTTGCTTGTAGTTACTTCCAGTCATACTAACGTATGTCATTTACTTGACTACTCACGAGTAATTTCTTTGTGAGTACTCGAGAAGAAAATCCACTACTCGCCCAGGCCTACACATCATATTTGCACAATTCTGGCACGTTTCAGACTGCCATTGTAAATGTTCTGAACACTCATGTTCTAGCCTGATTCCTGTTATTCCACCGAATATTTCAGCAGGCACGAAATGGATTCGAATGTTACACTGGGCATGTTCATGTATGTGATGGCTCTCACCTCTCATGACAATTCTGATGGACCTAATTAAGTTGATGAGTTGTGCCTTCATTCCTGGTTCCTCACCGAACCCACCAACACTCTGATCGCCTCCCCATCCCACTGCATGAAAAAGAAAGGAAAAATTGTGCTAAAAACATATGCAATAAACCATGCTAACCTCTGTTATTTTGTACTAGGAAGCATTCTAAATCCTGAAAATATGAAACACTGTGGGTAAATGGCATCACTCCATCACGTCAAAGAGTTCGACAAGGAAGTCTGAATTTCTCCTATGACATGTATGATGGTATGAAGCCAGGTCACACAATGAGTTGAAAACTAAAAAATATCTGCGTTAATTCGAACTTAAAGGGAATATACAACACTTGCTTTTGCTATAATTCTCAGAGATGGATGGATTTAGGAGTTCCCTGACCCTACTTCAGATGAGACAGATCAATTTATAGACATCGGGGAATTATCAGGTCAGGGAACCAGACTAGCTGGTTTGCACCCGTTCACAGATGTGTACCAGTTGCAAACAAAATGTGGACTAATTAGATTTAGTAATAAAATAGGGGGTTGTATTAGAAAAAAACCCACTTTTTCCAACAATGGTCAGCTGAGCATCGTTGGAAATTTATACAAAATTCCAATATTTAATCTTTAAAATGAAATTACACCAATGCCACGATTTCACAGGATGCTTGTGACTATTATTCACTTACAGTCAACAAAGGTATTTCATAATAATTTGATAGTTTTTTTGTTTGCAAATGATGTATATTGCCTTTAACGGAAAGAATTCCATACAAGGCCACCACTTAAATTTGACATCAAAAGGGAAAGAATTCCATATATGGACGTCACTTGACACCCTGTGTACAAACCCTATCCGGTTTGTTAGTGTGATGTCCAGCACTTTCTGCAAGTTTAAACCTGCGCGCACGCAAGTTTAAACTTGCGCGTGCATTAATTTCCTTGCTACAAATTGCGCACGCAAGTTTAAACTTGTGCACTGCATAGATTTTCCCCACGCATACAAAGCCGCTAAACTATATTTTTTTCCGGGTAAACTCATGCAGATATGTAATATTATTTTTAAAGCAGATTTTTTCTCCAATTAAAGGGAATGTACAGCATTTGCTTTTGCTGCAATTTTATGAAATAAACGGATTTGGAGGATTAGTATGTTATATAAAATATTGTTAAACTGACTTGTTTCATGTTTTGGGCTTGTAGATGCTGGAAAAACCAAGAAATCCTATCATGTTCTTGTAGTCTGGTTCCCTGACCCCACTTAAGATGAAACGAAGCAATTAATACACTTTGGGAAATGTAAGGTCAGAGAATCGGTCTAGCAGGCTTGTACCCCTTCACAGGTGTGTGATCATTTGCAAAGAAAAGTCAGAATAACTAAACATGAAAAATTAAGAACAGTTTTTGAAAAAAGCCAGTTTTATCCAACGCTGGTCGGCCGACCAACATTGGAAAAATACAGTTTTTCTTGAAAATGTCAGCACACCAGGAGCAACGATTTTAAAGGATGCTTTAGACCGTCATTCTCTAACAATTGAGTAAGCTATTTCGTGATATTTTGATCATCTCGTTTTTTGATGTTTGCAAATGTTGTAGTTTTCCTTTAATAGCATCACTGACCTTCGGGAGACAATGCTTTAATGCCTTTTTTTGAAACATTTTATAAACAGTATTATGCTAATGACGTTGACTGTGTAGAGGATCAGAGATACATGTAAGGGGTGGTAATGCGAACAGTTTATGCACTTTGCATCATGATGTGTATTATTGTTTATGGCTCATTAGGATTTTTGTTTAATAAACAACATTTTATTCATTAAGTCGAATTAATAAATTAAATTAATTAATTAAATCACTTATAAATTTATTTACTTTTTAAAATAATTACCATTTTATATGCATAGCATTTTTAAGTTAAAGCATGTTAACATTAAGTTGGGTCTGTTGTGCCCATTCTTGAAAATCACGCAATCTTAAGAATGTGCGCGCATTCTTAAGAATGAGCGCCCATTCTTAAGAACGAGCACGCGTTCTTAAGAATGAGTGCTCATTCTTAAGATTGGGTGGGAATATCACGTGCACAACTTATGAATTTTGGCCAATCTTAACAAACATTGCACGACATAATTATGTTAAATGAAATGTAGGGCCTATAGCGGTTAAAAGGGAAACAATTTATATAAAGAGGAAAGAAAATGTTCTATGCCTCTGTACTCTTATCACTACAATAATTTGAATCAAATTAAACCTGTTATTATTGCTTTTTTCTGCCCACTATGGGAAGTTTTGTAATAACGGAGGACTGGGAACTAGTCTGGGAAGTGCTTTGTTTAGGCTAGACAAGTTACAAGTCCCTGTATGTATCATATGCATGCCACGAAAAAAAAACGATGTCCAGAAGCTGCCAAAATTGCTCTTTTGACTAGATAGAATCCAGCTCTGCGACGTAATGGTGGGGTGTGAAATTGTGGCAATTTAAATGGGAAATAGCATTAGCACTATGGGATGTCGCATTATTCATTCTCATTCTTCACATTCTTCATTCTTACGTCCCCCCCCCCCCCCCCCGCTTTTATTATCCCAAAAATCAGAATTCTTTCCACTAGTATTATTATGTCTCTTATTTTTTCCCGGTTCCCCCCCCCCCCCCCATATCAATACGCCTATACTTATCATATCCACTTTACTTTTCAGCGCCTTGCGTTGCAACAGTATAATTATTGAGAATCAGTGAACGAGGATGCAGCTAGACTTGCCAAGCGTAGCCGGTGCTCGGCATCGACAAGACCGTTATCTACTCCTAGAGTCAGAAGCCCGCAAAATTGTTGTCAACACAAAACACTAATTAAGTACAAAAACGTCCATTCCAAATAAGCTATTTCCCACAGAACCGCTGCACAGTTTGCCCCTAAACTCCGTACAATACCTCATGACATACTCACGTTATGTGCACCCAACAAACATCGGTTGATTCTGTCTGTTTTTAGGCCAAAATGATGAAAAATATGCCCTTTCTGCACTGAGCCAACCTAACACTTGAAGCGAGCACGCGCGCTGATATATCGCAGTCATTTTCGGGTTCGATCGCTCGGAGCGCGCCGCGGGGGGTATGGTGTAGGAGCGGATTGATAGTATGCGCATGCGTACAAGTGCAAGTACGTACCCCCCGCGGCGCGCTCCGAGCGATCGAACCCGAAAATGACTGCGATATCAGCGCGCGTGCTCGCTTTAAGTGTTAGGTTGGCTCAGTGCGGAAAGGGCATATTTTTCATCATTTTGGCCTAAAACAGACAGAATCCACCGCTGTTTGTTGGGTGCACATAACGTGAGTATGTCATGAGGTATTGTACGGAGTTTAGGGGCAAACTGTGCAGCGGTTCTGTGGGAAATAGCTTATTTGGAATGGACGTTTTTGTACTTAATTAGTGTTTTGTGTTGACAACAATTTTGCGGGCTTCTGACTCTATGAGGCTCCACTACGTGGAGCCTCATAGTTCTAGGAGTAACCGTTATCTTGTCGCGCATTCTTAAGAATGTGCGCTCAATCTGGAAGAGTTAATTTTTTGCGAAGATTGTGCAAGGATCCAGTTGCACATTCTTAAGAATGTGCATGCACATTCTTAAGAATGCGTGATTTTCAAGAATGGGCACAACAGCTCCAAGTTACTCGGACTAGGCCATGCTGGCAATACTCGTAAAAATAGTATGACTATAGCTGGAGTTACCCAGCCCTGAGTTTTATCATTGGGTTGTCTATTAGGGCTGGAGCGCATTTTTCTCAAAACTTGTAGTATTTGCAAAAAAAATTTGAAAAATGTTCAATTTTGTCCCCATTACACACTAATTGCAACTGCAACTCACCCCAAACTTGCCTGGAATAACCATTACACAGGTCCTTGAAGTAAAAAACGATCCACGATGAAGATTCAGCCTCCAATTGCAGTGAAAACAGGAGGAATAACCGCTAACTTGACAACCTTGCTGGATTGGCCAGGACCGCTATTGGTTTGTGCACAAAAAAAATTGTGTACAATGAATGGCGGTCGATTACCATGCACGTACAGCTCGCTGGTACTAGGCGTTTTTGCGGTCGGTGCATGACGTGACGCGGAAGCGTAATACCCGATGACTGTTTCATGCATTAATAAGAGGTTCACTCGCATCACAGTGCGGTACTGGAACGGCAGTAACACTGCACTATGAATGCACGATAGCCGGCCAACTCGACGGTTGCCGTTCCAGTACCGCACTGTGATGCGAGTGAACCTCTTATTAATGCATGAAACAGTCATCGGGTATTACGCTTCCGCGTCACGTCATGCACCGACCGCAAAAACGCCTAGTACCAGCGAGCTGTACGTGCATGGTAATCGACCGCCATTCATTGTACACAATTTTTTTTGTGCACAAACCAATAGCGGTCCTGGCCAATCCAGCAAGGTTGTCAAGTTAGCGGTTATTCCTCCTGTTTTCACTGCAATTGGAGGCTGAATCTTCATCGTGGATCGTTTTTTACTTCAAGGACCTGTGTAATGGTTATTCCAGGCAAGTTTGGGGTGAGTTGCAGTTGCAATTAGTGTGTAATGGGGACAAAATTGAACATTTTTCAAATTTTTTTTGCAAATACTACAAGTTTTGAGAAAAATGCGCTCCAGCCCTAATAGACAACCCAATGATAAAACTCAGGGCTGGGTAACTCCAGCTAGTATGACTATGAGTATGACTCAATCACTCAGTACACTGCTCACCTTTGCTTAAAAACCTTTCCTCGTTAAGCACAGCTACTGCATTTATGCAAAGAAGAGCAGCTTCAATTAGGGAGTACAGTCCAAATGCCATTATAATGATTAAGAATGGTTTTGGAAAACAGCTACAAAACACCAAATACTAGTACAAATATACAAGGCCAAAAGAAAACGTACTCGTACGTACTGTACACCAGTCGAAGTATACGAGTAAAATAGTCAGATCCCTTACTTGTTTTTTTGTGTACTCATTATTTTACGTATACGAAGACTGGGTGCTTAGATTTTTTTGACGTGGCAGATTTTAACAGTAGAGGGCGCAGTATATATTGAAATACCTTTACATTGTATTGTTATTCACATCAGTGATACAATTAGAACATTAAGAAATTACATTTATTTATAAATGAAAACATCTACATTTTGTTCATTATCACACAGAAAACGTCAGACATGGACAAATTCACATATGTACATACACCAATGTAGCAGTAGTAAAAACGAAGAAGGGGGGGGGGGGGACCTAGGACTCAGGCGTAGGAAAAGGGGGAAACCCTGAACGGGCCTGGCAAGGTAAAAAGGGAAAATTCCACCATCTGGAGGGGCCGGGACAAAGCTATAAAAATGGCAATGTGGGAGGAACATGTATTACGACAGTGATTCAGGGATACATGTTCAGTGTATAGGGACCTCGAATGTGATTGTCATATTGAGTTCTTTTTTCCCCTTAAATTTAATGGTGGGCTCAAACAGCATTCGTGTGTGCCATTTTTGTCAGCAAATTATATTCTTTGATAGACTGGAGGCTCCCTAGGTTGGCTCGTATTTGAGCATCTCCGGGCAAGGTGTTGCTTGCAGTTGCAGGCAGTCGAAGGACTTTGCTGCCAAGTCATTAATGTCTTCAATTTACGAATTATGAATTTACGGTAAAGTATTGACGTCCAGGCGGACACTGTCAACAGGACTGGGAACTTTGCATTTTGTGTTTTGCAGAGCGCGGATGACATGATCTGCAGTTTGCCAAATGCTGCGGATGCTGCATGCACTGAGCTACCAATTAGCTCGTCAGCGCAGAATAAGTCGTGGGCATTATTATTGTTCTGGTTTTGGTTTACTGCTAGTCTTAATCTGCGGATAGGTTGAAGAGTTTTCCAGGCGGGTTTGTATATTTATATGAATTAAGATGCCCTCTGCAAACGCACAGATCTCATGTACTACTACTGTGAGGTAATTAAGTGTGACGAAAGGTGCACGTACGAACTCAGCCTTGTTCTTGTTCACTCCTACTAGGATAACTCTCAGAGCAGCTATCATTCATTTTTTCATGAAATTGTCTAATGCAAGTGATATGTTACTAGGCGGACATCCATATCAGAGAAGCAGACTCGCCAGAGACATTCGCGATTGCACCGTGTCGAATGTCTTGGTGAAATCGATGAACACAAATTATATGTTTTTTTTGGCATGTCTATCATGGTGCTACGGTTGCTGTTAACCCACTGTGACTCTGGTAATATTTCTTTCACCACCGAACGGTTGCACCTAAATTTCCGGCAACTTACAAAAGATAGAGAAATCCCGCACTTATGCCTGCATCCTTTTTCGTTTATAAACTGGAATGACGTATAGGCCTAGGCCTACTGTGGCATTTTTGAAATCCTGCGATATGACACTTTCTGTTACCTCCGCATTTCTGCAGGTATAAATGCCGTCATTGCCTTCAGCTTTAATACCATTGGCCAGGGTGTTTAGGTTTTTGTAAACCTATTCAGGGGTGATGTCATCCGAAGCTTAAGTTGGATTGGCCGTTACTCAGGAAGGAGTCGTTCAGGTCGGAAGTGAGGTTTGGTTCGGCAAGCCGCAACTGACCCTGCAATCTTTTTGTTTCATGATCTATGATTTTTATTTGTGAGCTTGTATCGTCTTTCCATCCTCAGCCAAGACAGGGCAGTTCTGGGAGCATGGACCGCCCATACACAGTTTTCAAGGCATGGAAAAAAGCCGAGTGTATCTCTTCGGCTTTGGCCGCCCACCTTCTATTTCTCACAATAATTGTTGAAGAAAAGTTTTAATAGTTCCGTGTGTAAAGATTCAGACTCTGGTATATTTAAGCATGCTTTTTTTCTGAATTAAAGCGTTTATCCCCATATCATTCCCCCTCCTGTAAAGTTGTCGTTGAGAAAGTCATCAGTGTCAATGACACTGATGCTTGGTTCTCCATCAGCGATCTCCTCAGGACAGACCGAGCACCACTCCTGGTCATGCATGGTCTAAACGTCACGCAGGAGAAGCACGCTTAGGTAGCTGATCCCCATGCCCAGCTTGTACTAAGAGTCGACAAGCTCCTTGCTGCATGTAAGTCATCCTGCGAAGGGTGACGATGGCAATGATGGCGGATGTGGCGGGTCGCTATTATGACGTACTGTGTGATGAGAGAGGTGAGAGAGTGTGCTTGGGGATAAATATTTACCCTTCTCTTCCCGCGCAAAACAGATATCTGCTGCACCATGACAAGCGAGAGTTCCTCCTCCTCTTCTAGCTCTGGGACGAGTTTGATTGAATTGATGACAACTCTGAGCAGCTCAGCCACATTGAGCACCCGCTCGCTGCTACGCAGACACCGATAGAGGACAATGCTGCTTCGACAAGAAACCCCCTCCCCCAGATGTGTCATAGATAAGATCACTCTGGTTCCTCCGAGGGTGGGAGTGGAAGCCGATCTTGCCCTCAAACTCCCGAGTCAGGATGTCTTTGATATATGACTTGACCCCGGATGTTGGGAAGACAACCGAGAAAGGATAGAGCTGTAGTCTCGGAGGAGGTATCTGCAGGGACCTTAGCTCATGTTCCTCAAAGATTACTTTTCCAATATAGCCAAAGAAGATGGTCTGAACCTTATAGAGAGTGACATTGAGCATGCTTGGGAGTTTGTCATCTTCACTTATTTTCTGATAGCTACACATTATGACATTTGAGGTGATGTCTGACCTCAAGCGCGTAGGGCTGATCAGCTGCAGGATCGATCAGACAGTTGATTCTGTCTCGCATGATCTGATCTTCCATGGCCACTCTGTCTCTTGAAAGCTAGCCATGCATGCATGATCGTGCGAAATCAGGATTTGCTTTGATTCTGCGTGCTTTGCTGAATCCGTCTTGCAGCACCATTAACATTTTGTTTCATGATGTATCGCCCCTAGACACAATTGCAGCAATTTGGCAACTGGAGCCGCAGCTGGGGAACAGAACTAGACAACATACATAGACGAAGACTGAGATTGGCATTCATCAACCTGTTGTTTTTCTTGTCTTTTGTTGGCCTGTTCAAGTTTCTTGGTATTTCATAAGGTCAACCTACATGCATCACATGCATCACGGACAATATTGAAATGGTCAGTTGCGTGGACATCTCCAAACTTGTCCAGACCTCTCCATTACAGGGCCTTTTTCTTGCAGGATTTTCCAACCTCTCATTTGAGGTCATGGAATCGGTGGCCTTGTCGCAAAGCCTACCACACTGGAGGACACATTGACAGTGGACATTTGTCATAAGGTACATGCAAGATATTCACATCACAAACCACCAAAACCACAGCATCATTACAGTGCGCGTACCAATCCCAGGAAACAATAACAGTAAGAAGAATCAGAGTTGTTTGTGATATAAAATATATGAAAAGAGAATAATTTGGTTCCAACATATTTATATGTAGTGATGATGATGATGATGATGACGACGATTATGATGATTGCCGTAGTCAGTGGGGACATAACCTATAGAACAAATCAGATCGTTGTGCTAAACAAGTCATACAAAATCCAGCCGATATGGCCCTTGATCCCAATAGGACCTCACTCCTTATGCTGGATGGGCCCAGGACCTTCTTAAATTGCATCAGCGCAACGATTTTGCCAAAATAATGTGTTCATTCATGATCCTAGGTGCTCCTGTTCAAAAGTTATGTTTTTGCTCTATCGAATGGCGGCCATCTTAGATTTCTGGGTCAAAATGATGTCACAGCGTCAAACTGATGCCGGAATCGGAATCCTCATTGTCGACTTACCTGCAAAAGTGTATTTTTTACATGATTCTAGGTGCTCTGGTTCAAAAGCTAATTTTTCAAGATGGCGCCGGCGGCCATCTTCGATTTGGCCCCCTAGCGAAAAATGCCGGGATTTTCGAGAGGTACCTGGGGGCTAATTTCTTTATAAATGGTCCACAGAAGTCAAATAAATCGTCAAACCATCCTAGCCAGAGAATGGTCACAGAACTTCTGTTTTGGACCTGTAAATCACATGGAGTTTTGGCTGGTAACCTGCTTTTATAAGCCAGACTATTTTTGTGCTTAGCAAATTTTTGTGCTCAGCAGCGCCGTGAAATTGGCCCCGGATTCGGCAGGGTGCGCTGTGATGATTTTCTCGATCCCGCAATGCATTGCGATCGACGCACGGGGCTCTCTGCACGCACGATCGATGCTATTAACCGACAGCTAGCATTAACGTGAAATTACTACTCTGTGAAACACGGACTCATTGGTAGTACATGTATTGCGCATTCCTATTATAATTAGACATGATGGGTGCGTTCGAGCGTGCTACTCGTGTTAACACGAGTATACTCCTGAGCGCCCGAACGGCAGGAGTACGACCCGCGGGTCAGCAAGAGTATACTCTCCATCATACCGGGAGTATACTCCTGCACCGAGAGTAATGCGCACGCAACATTTTCCTGCACTTGGGAGTAGGAAGAGTAACACGCTCGAACGTACCCGATAACTATTAGGAGAGGGAGGGATGGGTCACGTGAGAGGGTTTGACCACTAATATATAAAACACTTCAATTTCTTTTTTGAACGCATAACAGCCATTCCATGTAAGGGCCATCACCAAACTCAAAAATTGAAGTGAAAGGAATACATTTTTGTCAGTTATATTTGATAAGAGGTATATTGAAACCATCTAAATCTCAAAAGATTTTTTAAAATAAATCATTTCATTTAAAGTTTCAGCCTCCTGAACATGGATGAATTTTGTGGGCAAAACAGAGGGTCAGGGGTATAAATCACAAACTGAGGAAGTAATTGAAGCTCATTCATAAGATTGTGCTTTATCTGCATACATTTGGTAGCTATTCCAGTCTATTTGATAAAACATTGAGAATTTTTCTAAATGTCTTCAGTATTTTCCTACTATTTCATAGTGAAAACACCCTCAAAAATATGTCACGCGAGTCACAAAATAGGACTTTTTCAGATTACTTAATAACTAGAGAGGGATTCAGCTAGTGTTTGATATTTGTAAATGAAATAGTGGTGGTCTATCAATAAAAGTATGAATATTCTTATTTGCTCTACATTCCTTGTAGAAAAAACTATCTCAAGAATGTCACGCGAGTCACACATGATGTATGTCACGCGAGTCACAAGCCAGGAATGTTTCATTTACATGTAATACAAAGAAACAATGCCATATTAAATTATAGAATTGGAATTAAGTCTTCAAAAGCATTAGTTATGTAACAACAAATTGAATCAGTTTTTTACAAATGTATATACTGTATACATTCCTATACAACTGCATCATTAATTGCAGCTCTTACCTTTTAAGGAAACTGTGACTCTACATGACCAAGAAATACAACTGTTTTCCTGAAATAATCACCCGTGGATTGATGACATCACTTCGTAACTTAAATTCCGAAACATTTTTTTGTCTCCATGTCATTGTTAAAAAGGGAAAATACAACATTTGCAAACATCAAAAATAAAAATACCAAATCCTTTTGAAATACCTCGCTGGTATACTGTCAATTGCAAGAAAAGTGGTATTTTTGTATCAATTTCCAACGCTGGTCGGCCGACCAGCGTTGGAAAAAACTGGCTTTTTTCAAATGCTGGCCCCAATTGACCATCGCACTTGTTTGCAATCGATTACACACCTATGAACGGGTACAAGCCAGCTAGACTGGTTCCCTGACCTTACAATTCCCCAATGTATGTAAACTGCTCTGTTTCTTCTTATATGGAGTCAGGGAACCAGACTACAGGAAAATGATTGTTTTTCTTGGTTTTTATAGCATTTTCGAACCCAAAACCTCAAAGAAGTCAGTGTAACTATATTTGCTATATATTTCCAACCCCCCAATTCCATCCATTTCTGAAAATTACAGCAAAAGCAAATGATGTATATTCCCTTTAAGGATATTGTGTTTAAACCAGATTTCCACCCCCAACATTTGCCAAAGTAAAGGGATAAATAGCAGTTTTCACACTCTTTCATAAGGTATTCACAGGTAAATCATTTTTATTAATAAATTATGATTTGATTTGTTATACTAAAGTTACAGTTATAATGTGAAAGTGAAAAGCTACTGTGTCACGCGAGTCACGCATTTGTGTCACGCGAGTCACATTTTCTTCAAGCCATTTCTTACAACAAGGGATATTTGGCACAAAACAACTTATGCATGTATTGGGTGAGGGTTTAAGTTCTAAGTTCAGTAAGAATAATTTTTAGAACACGGGTAGATCCATAGGAAAAGCTATTTGAATCATCAAGGGATGTCAAAAATCCCTTTTTCTATCCTGTCACGCGAGTCACGTCAAAGAAACTGTGATACATGAAAAAATAGTTTTTTTAAAGTAATCATATAAAAACTAAACCATAAATTCACAATGTCCTGACTCAAATACATGCTAATTTGAGTTGAATAAATGCCAGGTTAACAACAGTAAGGCATTAAAACTTTACATTTTGTTCAAATGTCACGCGATTCACCATGGAATGGCTGATAATATTATTTATTTAAAATAATGAATGTTTACTCTGATGTCAAAAGGAGGGTATATTTATGTTAAATTCCATGTGAGTATCAAATCCTTCAATTTATTGTTTTTGGGAGTTCCTTTTAATCGAAACTGCTTTATACCGATAAAGTATTTGGACTCATAGGTTTCAAGTGTTATGTCTATACCTGCACTATTATTCTCCATTTCCGCTAGGCTAATCATTGATTCTATTTGCTATATTTCCTATTTACTAGTTGAGGAAACCTGCATTGGTGTTTATGCTTGTGATTTTCTTAAAAATTGGTTTAATTGGTCAACCTCGTCCTCGTGTTGTCGCCAGTACCCGACCACTACTACTGGCTTTGTTGCACAACGAAAGTATCGATCGGGATAACAAACGACTTGTGAAAGTTATAGAAAAGTGCAAAACAACCATCCAACCTGCACTATTACACTAAAACTGATGAAATTTGAAGCAAAATTAAAAAGAAAATGAAATCACCAAATAGATCTTCTAAATAAAAGCTTATTGCTTGTTATTACGGTGACCCTAACCATTCAGGATACTGGAGCAAGGTATCCTCCCATGCAGGCAGTGGCGCAACTGGGGGGGGGGGGGACTCGGGGCTTGAGCCTCCCAAGAGGTTGTCAATATCTTTTTGGGGGGTCAATTTTGTTTTTAGTCCCACGATTTGACCGTGGTGATATGTAGGCTATGTGGCTTATTTTCGAGTAGTATAATAGGGGTGTAAATGCTACCACCAACGTCAAAATAGTCCCCCACCCCATTTTTGTTTGCGGCCATAAATTTTGGCCAACATTTTTGGAAAAAATTCAAACTTCTAATAAGAAATTTGACAAACAAAGTGTGAGCCCTCCCCCCAGCCAAATCCTGGGTGCGCCACTGCATGCAGGGTTTACTATTGAGATCAGGTGGGTGAGACTGACCATGGGAAGGTGGGTAGATTTGGGTACGTTCCAAATGATTGATTACATATTCTGTACCTCACTTTCGGCTTCATGTTTCAGCTTTATTATTTAATGTCTACGACTCGATGTTTTCAGGCACAGAAAACATACACCACATTTTCAAGACTCAAAGGGAACTAATTAACCTACTGGAAACGTTCAGGCACACCTGTCATCTCGCCGGTACCTTCAAAAAAATCCTCACAATCTTTAAAAAAATTGCTCGTAAACCAGGTACACGTGCTTCATTGAGTTAAACGTGGATAATTATTGTTTAGCAATGATTAACCATTCGAGTGGATGGGTTACAGTTATAAATATGTCGTTGGGATTATGTGACCATTCAATCATTTAGCCACGCCCACACCTGAATTCTATAAGAACACGGCGATTTGTGCAAATTGAGCACATCGACTATCGATCTCCACAAGTCACACATTTCCTCCCGCCAATCGAGATTTAAAGATGAAGCTGCTTGCTCTCTTCACGTGTGTAGCTTTCCTGTACGGTTTCTCCGCGGAGACACCTGACTGGGATAACAGCGCTACCGACGATTCACAGGAAGAACCCGCCACGGCCATCGAATCCAATGACTTGGACATCGATGACGATGATAACTCACCTGCCATCATAGCTGTGGGTGAGTGGGACGAACAAGCCGCCCTGAACTGGGCAGGTCAGACAGACGATAACTGGGATGAGGCACACACCTTGGCTTGGTTGAGTGACGAACCGACACAAGTCAGCAATGGTAAGTGGGACCTTGAATAGGCGTTAAGGCGGAGTCGAAGGTCAATGGTTTTGTATCGCTGGCATAAGGTGTATGAACTTCTTATTGATTAAAAAAAATGGTAATTATAAAGCGCACGTATTCACTATTAATGGTGCTCAAGGCGCTACATTATCATTACCCTGCTCATTTATCCCAATGGGACATTCCAAGATACCATCTCAGCTCCCTGGGGGAGTATACATGCTGCAATTTCGGCGCAAAGCAGTTAAAATCAATCGCAATAACAATCTCTGCCCTCACAGGTACCCATTTACTCCTGGGTGAAGAGTAGCAATGAGTGACAAAGTGCCTTACCCAAGGGCACACGCACCATTACCCCAGGCTGGACTCGAACCCACAACCTGCAGAATTACCGGCAGACCAAAAACTCAATGCTCCAGACCATCAGGCCACGGCACCCCACAATATAACTGTGGCATGGCGTTTAACAGTGAAATTACACCCTTACGTATTATTTGACAAGTTCTGAAGCTTCCCAAAGCGGGGATGTTTGTCCATATTTCATACCACGGGATCGCCGCCACTGAAATTAAATCAATGGCGAGTACGATGAGTTCAAAACCACTGGAAACTCTCTCTTGCCTTGTCGGACAAAATAATGAATCTTTCTTTGTAACGGTCCAGAGCTCCGACGACTCATAGGTCCGACGCCTTGTTTGTCCGACGTCGGATTTATGAGGCGTTGGACTAATGAGGCGAAGGAGCTATGAGGCGGAATATATTCCGATGCCTCATAAATCCGACGCCTCATAATTCCGAAATTTCGGACTTAGGAAGCGTCGGAGCTATGAGGCGTCAGACTTACGATACAGTCCTCTTTAATTAGCCTAAAAGCCAACGTGGTTGCGTCTACACAAATTCATCTGGCTACTATTAGAGAATTCGCAGCTCGATTACTCTCGTAGTCGAAGGGTCCATGCGATGAATTTGTCTTAGGAACACATTTTGCGCAACTTTCTAAAACTAATTGACATTTCCTTTTGTAAACTGTATTGAAAAGTGTCTCATATGGCAACTTTTGGTGTTGAAATAGCTGTAACAATGAGGTTTCTGCCTGAAATGACATCACACATTAATGCAAGGGCCATTAAAGTATTCGTCCGCCTGAACCAGACGTCGTTGTGGTAAACCCAACTGGCACTCACCTTGTCAGGCCAAATGTTCTAAGGGCGCCAGATTGCTTGCGACCCGCATGCATTGGTTCACGAAAAGAAGCCGATTGGGGCTCCATTATTGCTGTCTGTTTCCATCACATGGTTTATTTTGCGTTTCAAAGGTTTTTTAATGGCAGGTCAGTCTCCCATATCAGCATTCTTGTTATGTAGTGGGATGTATAATATCGGCTTCATTTTCCCCGCAGCATTGGACTCAGGTGTGAATGCTGTGAAAAAGGGCTTACTCACCTGCTCTTGTTCCCGTGCCAGACGAGATTGCAGGTGCTGCTTTAGACTCAGAATCTCGAACAAAAGATTCAATGGTAATTATTCCCGCTCAATAACAGTAAACCTCGCAGTCAACAAGCTTAAGAACGTTAAAAGCCAACAAGCCTATTTGTAATTATGTTGTGCTGAGACAACTTGGCTGATCTGTCTGTGGTCCATGATCGGTTTGTGGCTTCGGTTTATTTTCTTCACATTTAATTGAACCGCTTGTTTAGAACACTACGGAAGACGGATAGTGCCACTCAATGAGTGTTAATATATTTTTTTTGGTGCGTGTGAAAATATTTTTTTTGTACAGCGTCCGCCACTTATTATCTGGCGGCCGCCAGATAATAAGTGGCAGCCGCTGTACCAAAAAATATTTTTACACGTACAAGGAAATATATTCACACTTTTTTTATGTGGCGGCCGCCACTTATTATAAGTGTGAATATTTTTTTTGTACGTGTGAAAATATTTTTTTTTGTACAGCGGCTGCCACTTATTATCTGGCGGCCGCCAGATAATAAGTAGCGGCCGCCAGATAATAAGTGGCGGCCGCTGTACAAAAAAATATTTTCACACGCACCAAAAAAGAAATATTCACACTCATTGAGTGGCACTATCCGTCTTACGTAGAACACTGCCTAACCTAGTTAAAATTATATCGGACATGCACTTAAATTGCCCTTTACTCACCAGGGCTCTCGCAACATTCATTTGGCCCAGACACAGGCCGGTAAATACCGTCATGTTTGACCTGCCTTTGAAGACGAGAAGAGAATGTATTTCGCGTTCCTACCAGTTGCTTTAAATTTAGATGTCGAATAACATTATTTTCTCCGTTGTAATCTCAGCCTGTTTGGTGGCGTATTACAGTGGTGGACACGTAGGAGTAAAGGCGACACTGAATTCCAGAACTATCATCAACAGATACTGTGCAGGTAAGAATGACACAAACCACATGGAGGTGCCAAAGCTATTTTCATTTCAGCTTTGTAACCAAAGGTTGTCACAGCTGAAATCTTTGTGACCAAATCCGTATTTTTTTTTCTGCAATCACGTACAATCAGGTACAATAGTCACTTAACTGGAAACGCACTTGTAAAACATATCACATGACTTTGGGGTAGTTTAAATTCAAAGATAAGTTTGCAAGAGCGGTTGGTTACATGCGATTTTAAAAAATTGGAGTGAGGATGACCACGCCCGATTCTTCATGAAAAGCTTTGGGGCTTTCCTTGTTAGTCTCTAGTTCCTGAAAACATGAACTTTCTATTCTTTCTAACATTGTGCTGGATGATATAGCTTTATATTGAGTTTTGCCCATCACTAAGTATACAGTGTTTTTCAAATACATCGGTGAAGGGCAAAACTTTCTACCCATTGTGTTCCAGTATAAAATTAAGTATTCAGAATTAAGTCACTCTTATATTAAATGAATCCCCGATGATCTATTTTTAGGGACATGTACGAAATTGAAGGCATGCCGACGATTCCTCGGGAAGAGGGTCTGCGTAGGTCTGACCGGCATCAGTCGCCAATCCCACGCCGTCTCTGCAAACGCCAGGTTCTGGGTGCGGGGCGTCGTTTGCATGAGGTCCCGAAGAATCACTATTCCCTTCTAGATCGACTATGTCAGGCCGCTGATGCTTTGCAACATACTACAAGAAGTAAATTAGCATGATTATAAAATGTATTAAAACAATTAAAAAGGTGTCAGAAATTTTACACGAAATTCACATGTGATTGCCACTCACTATGGTAAAGCCATGTCGCGACCTTGTTCCCAATCTTTTTTTTTTTTCTGAACGCTAGCGAAATTCCGAATGCATGGCACACATTGATTTTTTATAATACCTTGCAAAGACAAAACGCCCACCCCAAATCTTATAGGAAGTGAAATTCTGGCAAAGTGGATAAAGTCAATATCCTCTGAACAATGAAGTATGGCGTTTAATCTGACCAAGTACACACATACGAGGTCACTTTTGTGGATGGGATTTTCCAGATTTTTTTTTTATTTGCGGAGTGAACCCTTTTCTACTCAAAGAATAAAAAAATTATATTCTGAAAAAAAAATGATGTTCGATATGTCAGTTGATATGAAAATGACCTGCCGTTTATCAACAAAAAGCATTTACGTATTCTCTCAATCTCTCTTTACGTAATCTCAGTTGGTTCAAGTTAGTCAACCCTCGGTCTATTTTGTGTCGAATTTGTATCAAAATTGTTCGCAAGATTTCCGTGGCAAGTTTTATCCTGGTGATGATACAATATCCGAATGAATTGGAAGGTTTGATAGAATAAGTTTGGCATTGCAGGAAGAACGTTGGGGAAAATTAAAGTGCGCCACGATGCATGAATGAGAATATTAGACTTGGCCAGGGGCGGATCCAGGAATTTTAGCAGGGGGGGGGGGTTTCATGAGCAAAAAAATCTGAAAATGTACACAGGTTTTTTTCTCCGGACACTTGGCCTCCTTAAAATCAAAATTTGATTGTTTTTTAGTAGTATAGTCTCAATGCCGATATGTACTAGTGGATCATGTCACACAATTAGCATTTTCCAATCAGATTGTACTGAAGTAAATAATTGTGTTAGTTTTAATTTATCATCAGCGGTAATGTTAATTAAATATTGGAACATGAGTTTCATATGACAGCATTGAATAGTTTGGTGTCTTTTGTTTTGTTTATTTTGTCATTCATTTAGTTGGTCTGTATTTTAACTCTTTTGTATCAAAACGTTTAGTTTTCCAGTCGTCAATTTTAATTCTGGCTTGGCTGCATGCCGGCTGTAGTCTGGTAAAACATTTGAATAGCGCAACTAAACGGCTGAAAGCGATTTTAAGAAGCTTTGAAAAAAATGCTCAGGCAACCTTTTGGCAGTGTAGGATCACCACAGTTAGTTTATGGAACTTTTCAACTATCAAACAGTGAGAAAAAAACAACTAAATTTGAAAAATGCGAGCAAAACGTTCTACCCCTAATTTACTTTTAGCACTGCTTTATATGCTTTTTGCCTCGGATGATCGGTTAACTTTATTTTCAATTTTTGTTTTGCCATTTTCAAGGGTATTTTGGCGCCTCATGCTAATGCGATTTTCATATTCATGAGCAAAAGCGTGATGTCATTTCAGGCAAAAACCTCAATGTTACAGTAAATTCAGCACCAATAGTTGCCAGAATTTGTCATCGACTTTGCAAGGTTTGAAACGGCCGTTAAGACTGATTCATTATTCTTTTATTCCAGTTTAGAGATGTGTGCATGATGGGAAGTTTTCGGATAGCATTTGCGCACATTGTCTAACTGTGGTCTTGAACAGCTGCAGCCAGATGCAAAATACATAGGTCATAGGCCACTTCCTTCACAAGATTCTGTGAAGCTCATCAGTGTATACCAGCGTCCTGTTTGCAGGGCGGGGGGTACGAGCGAAGTGCTGGAACTCAACTAGCGCCATGGGGGCGCCCTACAGCCGGGAAGGGTGCATACAGGCTGCTCATGCATGTTCGGGCCTAATACCTACATGAGAGATGATTTTCTCCCCATTTTTTTTGGGTGGGGGATAAAAGTTAGGGATACTTCTCTTGCCGTAAAAATAGTTTAGGGAAAAATAGCAAAATCTCGGCTATATTAAAGGGTGCAGACCTGTAAATAGGCCCAAAATTGCCTACGCGGGCCAAATCAGGATTTGTATGCCCTCAATTGTTTTGCTATTAGAACTGTTGCAACTGGAAAGTTTGTAAAAAGAAGAGAGGAAGCCGTGCACTGGCCCGAGATCTCGTATTTCTGTGAAATTCGGATGAAATTAGGCCCTAAATTTGCTGTATTGGAGATTGGAGCGCAAGCATCATTTTTCAAAATGGCGATGGGCCTCAGGACTACTTTAAGGGTTGATTATCTTTGGATGGAAAATTCTCCCAAAAGTAATCCGTTACGCACTTAAAACTTGAACAGAACATGAAAGATGATGAAATAAGCTTTTATTTGATGTGTATCTCAAACATCTTGGGGAGTTGTGAGTATTTTTATATATTTTGGGAAGTGCGCGTAATTATCACTGAGGTATCTGGCAGTCTATATTGACCGGTCTTTAACCATATATAGCGCGGCTACTGTTTTTGTTAGCGGCAGACCATTGATCATCGGACACTATCGTCACGCCTTGACCAAGGCTATATTGTGAGAATGGCTCTATGGTTTCTCAAAGTGGTTGTACGGCTTTCAGCGCATCATCACTAGTACATTACATTTGTTTTACACATGTTGAGTGGAGAGGCACGCCAGATCAGTTTACATGGATCTGGGAGTAATGCTCAGCTCACATGCAGAGCAATCGCTTCGCTGCCATCGGCGTTGATCCCGGAACGGCCAACTGGGTGCTAGACTTATAGCAGGTCGGCAGCTGAGGCATGTACCTGGGTAGTGCCGGCCGGCCATGGGAGAAACGCGCCTCAGGGTCCCGTTTGGTGAGTGAAAGAAATCAGAGTCGTGGCCTTAGGTTGTGGTCACGAAGTGCAACCTTATACCTTTTTTTCATGAGCGTTTGGACGGCAATTTCAACAATGGTTAGCTTTTAAAGCCCGCTGTTTTAAAGAGGACTCTTCGTTTCGTTTTGGCAATGTCTTTTTGTCGTACTTTTGTGTATAACAACACTCATACGCGGGCTTCGCCAGACCGGTTTGTAAGGAGGAGGTAATAATAATAATAATAATAATAATAAGTATAATAATATATAGTGCTTATATAGCGCTTTATACCAAAGGTCTCAAAGCGCTTCACAATTTTTACCCCGCTTCATCAGGCCATGAGACCAGTTTCTGCAGCAGCTCAAGATCAGCGCAATCTGGTCTCTACCTTCACAGGTACCCATGATATTCTCCTGGGTGGAGAGGCAATTGTAGTAAAGTGTCTTGCCCAAGAACACAAGCACCATGCTCCCCGTCCGGGTTCGAACCCACGTACCGCGGCAAGTGAGTCGAACACCGTAACTATTGGACCACAGCGCTCCAAATTATTAGAGGGCGTTTAATATCAAAACGAAGCGCTGTCACCCGGTACCCACGGACTGCTATTACAACTTTAGCGTCTTGTGAGTTTGTGAGGTTCTGAAAATAAATGAAGAAAACTCAACGTTTGGGACAGTAGGCTATAGCTATACTCTGCCCGTCGTCAGTTTCCCTCAGTTCTTTTCAGAACTGCACAAACCCACACAAGAGATTTGGCACATGGTTCTACCGTAAACCTTTATCTTATTGCTATATGCCTTCACCATGCAAAATCTTACCTAACGTCTTGGCAATCTTGTAGTGGTCGTGTAAAGCGCGCACATGTTCTGCCGAATGTAGCCTATGCCGCGCGCATTATAACCAAACTCTTCAATTTCATCCAGTAGAATACAACATGCAGCAAGACTTTCTTTGTACAACTTCATGGTAGCTCCTTTGTCGTATGTTATATGCGTGCGACCGAAAGTTGACCGTATTCACCTTCAAAAGTAGCGCGTGCGCACTGGTTGTCCCCATTTACCACGGGGAAAATGTGCAAGTTTCTCAAGACGTTGTTGTGATAGATGCCTGTACGTGGAGGAAAGTGATCCCTTGTGATAGCGCCCCCTTGCGGCAGGTTATCGTGTATCCAATGTCTTGAGCCAAGACTAAGGGGAGGGACAAGAGGCGACAACAAATTGTGCTACAGACCTCCGTTCTTGAAGATACCCGGCTGTCGTGAAGTCAAAAGGTGGAAGGGGGGGGGGGGGTGGACTGGACACCACCGACAAATAGGGGCGCTATTCACAACAGAGTGTGGACACTATCATTGGCAATAGATGAGGATTTGGTTGCAAAGACTTTGCCGACTTGAAGATGATTTTTCGTGATGGCGAAAACAAATAAAAAAGGGCGGATGACACCCCGCCCCTGAAAAAAAAAGACAGTTTAACATCTTTGCGAGTTTTGTTTTCCAACCTAAGCTTCCCGTAGATTGTTAACCTCTGGTTAGCAAAAACCTCTGTTATTGTGACGCCGTCCAGTACCTGACGTCATGTCGTGAGTTAACAAGAAAACTAACCTAGACAAATACACAGATTTCTGAAGAAAAACAAATGAACACTGTGTCATAAACCAACTCTTAAAAACTTCCAATCGGAATTTACCCCAACGTCGAGATGTTGGCGGTGGAATTATCTTTCGAGTAATTGGATTTTCTCATATTCTACTTGAAATGTCTTTCGAATGTCTCCTATAGCCACCCCCAAACAAGTACAGTTCAGGTGTCACTGAAGGAAGAGGATACTGTGCACAACGGGTACAATTTTTAAGCCTGACATTTAAACTTGGATTTGGAAAGTGGAATACAATAAATCAGCATCTTTTGCAGAAAGTTAAAAATCTTCATCCTTTCGACGGACCCGGTTTCTTTAATTCTTTGGGCAGCACTTGACGTTTTGTACATCAAAATACTTTTCGGCGAAGGCCTGTAAGGAATACGTCACTTCAAAACTGTTCGCAAATTTTTGCGATTGTTTAAACTGGCATAGTGGACACAAAGTACAGTGTTCTCATTTTGCAACGCGGGCCGGATGAATTGGACGTCGGAAGCCGTGCCTGATGGTGCAGCGAAATCTGTCAACTGCCGGATAAAAGCCGGCAGTTGCTTTATGTGAATTTCATTTTTTTTGGGGATAGTTGATATATCAGTGTTTTGACTCTGACGAGGGATCATCCGTTCGCCATCACGCATGCGTCTATTTTCGACCAAGGAGCCTGCTGATCCGGCTAGTTCCGGCCAGATTTTGTGAAATGCGCTTGATGGTAAACATTCTTTACATCGTACTGCTTTTAGCTTACAATGACAGAAGGAAAAGATCAAGTTTTTGGACCAGAAAGAGAAGACAAGATGACCTTATGAGTCTTACAAAATAAAAGTAAAAAAACAAAAATATTCAATGCTGTCATGTGGAACTCAGGTTCCAGTATTTAATTAAACTAGCCGCTGATGATAATAATTTAAAACTAAAATAACTATGCAGTTGTCAAGATACATTTAAAGCGAATTGCTTCAATGATTGGCGATGAGATTGTATTATTAACTAATTGCATCTGTGTTTTTTTCCAATTGAGTGAGACGTTGCAAAATCTTTGACAAGGTGAACCAAGTTCGAGCGAGGATTATTTATAAAGCATATATAGCTGGACTAACTTCTTCACCCGACTGGACTTGTCTTGTCGATCCTTTTGTACCAGCAGCCTACCGAAGTTGAATGCTTATAGTGCCAATGATGAAGCGCGCATCATCATGCACAGCAAGCAGTGATCTAAGACAGACTTGATGACGTTTGGACCAGTTTTACTTTGGCCAGGCGACCTTCGCACATATTGCTATACGTGCGCATGCGTAAGCTTCGTTCTGTACAAACCACTAGTCGACCTCTGGTGTTTGATTGAACTTACTATAAACGGTTTCATTAGTGATGACGCCAATTTCACAAACCCAATGGATGCCTGCACGTTTGCGATGATGTGTGCTTTGTATACATGTAGTTCAATTATATGTTGTTTAATCCATTTTACTTTATTGATGTCTGTAAGTGATGTAAAAGTTCATCTGCAAGTATTTCAGTGAACCTATTCAAATTTGCATATTAACTAAATAAAGAATTCTGCCAAAGCCAGGAATAGAGAAAGATGGGTAACGAAGCGATCCCAAATAAAGTTCTACCACAGTTGAAACGTATCAATGCAAAACGATTTGACTTTCTGAGAGTGGATGACTGCAATCTATCAAATGAAATAAAGGAACAAAAACGTATACATCATATTATTCTAAAGCATCAGCGGCTTGGTGTTGTCGATCTAAATGCCGATAGTGATCCTTCCAATCTTCTTGCTGAAGATACCTTTCACCTCAAGTAAGCCGCGAGCGGTGACGGATCTGGAGCCCCAGGTGATGTCGGTCAGTCCCGCACAAACTTTCCTTCTCAATATTCTCTTACACGCCTTCACATGAGTACGGGACGCTGTAACGAGATAATCAAATTGATGAATAGTTAGAGAGAGTGGAAAACAAAAACTGATGTAAAGGGAGCCAGGTACACGGAGTCGAGAATGTGGAAACATTCCCCCACTATGATGACCCTCTTGGCCCGTACCCAATACGTACGCCCCCTCCAGAAAAGTTCGAAAAGGGGCCAATTTAAAGTCTCCCTCAAGATATTATCGATCACTGTTCGTCAACCTCTGGGACAGAGGTTGTCCCACTTTCTGTCCCACAATGGATTACCGGATCGTCATTGCTCTATCGTTAGTATCCATGGCAGGCGCGGATCAGTTTCCATATTATTAAATACCAAGCAGTCATATTGGTAATATTTCAACAACAGTGGTCATCTTGCCTTCATGCAGTACTCCTAAAATGGAGCGTAAAATATCTCTGGCGAAACATGAAAAACTATATGGAAAACACGCAATACCAATTTTTACACCATGCAGCAATAAGAATCTTACCGGAGACGCAGCGACTGGCAAGAGTTCTGGAATTCAACTTGGCTGCTGCGCATATCTCGCCACCTCTGTAAGACGCCACCAAACATGCTGAAGCGAAACGGGTCATAACAGAAGAAAATGTAATCAACTATAGATGTGACAGGTCTTGTTCAATAAATCATTTGCAACGCAATCTTACTGGAGGTGTGTGCATTAGTTCAACAGGGATACTCATGATAAGTGCAAAAAAAAAACACCTCCCAATAGGCCTAGATATATATTCGCTTCTGTTAATGTTTTAAAATTAGGGAGCTAATTGATTGGGAGGTGTGCATATTCTTATCTTCGAAACACGAAACAATTAAGTAGCGGATCCAGGGGATGCGGAATGGGCGTCCCCTCGGCAGTGACCGAAATGTTGTCAAATAAGTCCATTTGTTTCTTAAGAGAGCCTGTCCGCCCTGGCACAACCTCAACCCCGGCACTAACCTCTCTGGATCCGCTCTTGCAATCTACCTACGGTACATTTTATTTCCTTTATACTCACTGAAAATAGTCATATGATGTTACAAGCACCACGGATAGTAGGCGCGAGTGAACCCCTTCAACTTACGTGCATGTTAGTATCGCCCCATGCCTGTTTGTCTGACATTTTTACAACCAAAAGGCAAGAATTGTTCAATAAAGGCTGACTTGGTTCGCTTATAATAAAAGTATCATGTCTTCTCTTTCTGAATTTAAAATTCACTGCTTACATTGAAATATCAAAGAGAGGAGGAAGTGGCAGTCAATTAGGTGCTTAAGGTGACACGGACGACTGTTTGGAGGGTGGTTGCTCGTGATGCAGACAGATGATGTATATTCACTAGAATCGGGGTGACATTGACTTGAGATTGTCAACTGATAATAACATTATGAGAGGATAATTACCGTTGTATCTCTTGAAGAAGATTTTGAAACGCAAACAGCAATTGCATCGGCCACCGGAGCAACTGCAGCTGAATCTCTCGGTCTGAGCATCGCTCTCGGACTCCAAGGCTGTGGGAAAATATGAAGCCGACAATCAATCAATCCTCGGGTCAGAATTAACCCGGACTCTGGGTCATAATGATACCTTTCAGGGTCAGAAATACACTTTTCTGGGTAAAAGATGTACACCGTTGCCATGGTTTCTGGGTCAAATGACCCGGAAAATGATCCAGATAAGTGTCGTGTTGACTCACGAATGTGTCATTTTGCTCATAAGAGGTCTATTCATTTGAAGTTGCTTCAGCAAACCGCTTCCATAGAGGCAGTGTCATTTCAAGCCACAGCCTGGTAATTCAGACGCAACCTAAGAGTCTATCTTTCCTGTATATTTATCCATTACATTTTATTTGTGGATAACAGAGTCTGAAAGTTCAGCCCTAGTTGCGCACTTCTGGACCCCTTCATTAGGAAAATTAACGTGCAAAAATGAGAAGATTTGCAATTATTTTCGGTACATTCATCTGTTAAGAAAATGACCCCCCAAAAGGGCCTTTGTAAACTAGCATCTCAAATAATTGAAACTGAAAAATCGCCTGAAGTGTAAGAGAAATGTCGTGACAAAAATTGATCTTTCACTTCCGAAAGTCTAAAATACACTTGGACTCGTGGAACTCGGAGCACTCGTACACAGATGAAAATTTATGAAATAATTTTGTGGCGGTCATTGGGTGAAAACTGAAACTTAAATAGGACAATAAAATGTCTTTTAGGACATACATATTTTAAAAATAAACTGGAAGGACTAATCATTATTTACAAACAAATCTAAACGACCGTTGATAAGAACTGTGTTCAAGCAAGCCCGACTAAATCTAGAACCCATCGGATGTAGGTCGGTAAATCTTCTCGTCGTTATCATTTTCGTTCCCACGCAAGTATGCGATGTGAAAACAGACGTAACCGAACAAGGAGATTAAGGTACGAAAATGCTGGATGTAAAAAGTCGTATGTAAAATTTATTTTTATCCATTTCCAACTGATTTTTCAGAATTTTGTCTTTTGGAATGCCAAAATAAAATTCCCAACATGAGTATGTCTTGGAGTGATTACGGTTAATTCATTCTGTCCAAAATTATAGCAAGAGAAAGAGAAACCCCGTGTAAACTGCCCATGGGCGGTCCACGCGAGGGTTCCGGAATCTCAAATACAAAATGGCGCACTTTCAGGCTTTATTATCTAAATGAAGTTGACCTCATGTTAGAGTTCACGAGAGAAACGTTGAGCTTCTTGATCTTTGAGATTGTGAGAGATAGTAAAGCAGTGTTTGGACTGTAACGCAGATTGTAAATTTGAGCAATAAGAATATCTCGCAGACCAGAAGCAAACTTGACCGGAAATTATAATGATGATTGTTCATGGCCTTCATCCAACCTTTTTCAAACCAACATCATGATTTGACAAGTAAATTTGACTAAAATTCGGGTAAAAAACTTAGGGAGTTATAATTTTTGAGGTCATCGCATTATGTAGGCTAAGTAACACCCACACATTGAGGGTTTCGTTTTTACATTTCGACAGTCGAACGCTAGGGCTCGGTCGTACATTTCGAAGTATGAAGTAATCATTAATTAATAGCAAAAAAAAAACCATCGATGATGCACCGTACGAAGCCTGGCCTAGTAACAATTGTGAAACAATTAAGCCATATTTTCTGTAACAATATATAATATCAACCTCGTCCCCATTGTGTGGAGCAGTTTGCTATCAGTATCTGTTCTCTCGCCCTGATATTGGAGCAATCTGCATATTCAAAAATCTGGGCTAGTAGTTTAAGTTAGATCATAGTAAATACTGCAAATCAATGTTATGTTTTTAAATTATGATGTTTTAGTGGTGCGCTTCCGGAACCCTTAAATGGGAAAATTGAGGACTAGTGCAACTTACAGATGCATATCCCTAAATTGGTGTACATATAAACGTGAAGACCAAGAGTCTTTTAGAGGTTTTAGGACTACACCCACGAGCTGCTCAATCCATCCCACTAGATCTAGAACCCATCGGCTGTAGGTAGGTAAATCTTGGCAATGTTATACATTATCACGCAAGTACACGATATGAACACAAACGTGCACGGAGACCTAGGAACGACACTACCGGATGTGAAAGGTCGTAGGCATATATTCATTTTTACCCATCTCCAAGTGATTTTTCCTCAATTTTACTCGAGCAATACCAAGATAAAATGAATGTTTGTTGGGGTGGTGACAGTTACAAATCATTCTGTCAAAAACTTATAGCAAGAGAAAAGGCAACCCAATGTAAAATGCGCACCAGTTAATTCCAGGCTCTATCGCACTACTCCATCTACACTATCATACGCTAAGAATGATAATAAGCTCTTTTGAAAAGGGAATTGCTTTTTCAGGAGGATTGGCTACAAAATTATTACGCGTTGAAAAAACCCCAAGTATACGATATAAATCCATCACTTGTAGATCGAGTTAGAATTGGTAGTAAATCTTTCTTCACAACACCACTTTCTCTTTTCTTTGTATTTGGGTGTATGTTGTATTAAACTTAGCTAATGCAAATTCAAAATGATGCAAAGCGCTATTGTGATGTTTTGTATCACATCTCGCCAATTATACACATGATTACTTACGATAGCTGACTTGTTCTTGCGCCCCATACATCCAGGCCAACGAGTGCCCCTCGTCCCAACCTTCGTCTGTCTGGTCTTCATTCAAGGCCAAGACGGCTGTCTCGTCCCATTCGTCCGGGTCTCCTACTACCGAGAGTGCTTCAAACTCGGCATTGTTGTCGATGTCCGGTGTCTCCGAGGATACACCGTACAGGAAGGCGACACACGCCACGATAGCAAACAGCTTCATTTTCAAATCTCGATGTACGGGTGAAAATAAGCGACTTGTGGAGATTGTAAGTCGATGTGCTCGATTTCCACAAACCCCCGTGTTCTTATAGAATTCAGGTGAAGGCATGGCTAACTGAATGATCCTTACTCAACATTATTAATCGTCTTTCTTCCACTTAAAACCGGTAAATTAAAAAATGTAATTATCAAAATCTAACCGTAAAGGGAAGAATACATTGTGGGTAAAGGGGGAAAATTACTTGACGTAGGAAATTTTCCAAAGACTGTGAAGAAGTTCGTTTGACTGAGAACGTAAAGTTTCTTCAAGATACCTTGGTTAGAGCGATGGGTGTGGCTGGAAGGGGAAGGGGTGTCCCCCTTATCCCGCTAAGAAGGTCTACTGATCAAGGCAAGCTAGTAGTGACAACTCCCCTCCCCCGCTTTTAAAATTCAGAAACTGGTACTTGCGCTAAATATTGCAGGAATTGCTGAAAGTCTATTATAAGAGCATGTCATCATTAGCTTCGAGTTCCTGTTCGTGCAAAGGTAATATTCCCAACCACTCATCAGAGGTGGCAAAGTGGCTATATCCCGGAACTCACAAGTACACAATTTTAATAGAGGCTTTAGCTTTTTTTCAATTAAGACACGGACGTCACCAAACTTAAAAATGGACTCATTACCAATAAAAAAGCCAAAACTTCAAACGTTCAATCAAATATGAAACGGAAGCAGAGAATGATGCAGGTAGTTGAATCACTTATACTCGAACTTCCTAGCGTACAATGATTAGTGAGCAATGAACGCCCGTTAACATGTGAGGGATTTAGTGTTGTTCAGGGTGAGTAAACAAAATGTCCCTTTGGATAATTTGTTCTCTCCCACAAAAACGGGAAAGTTTACAAGTTTTTCTCTTCAGCCAACATTTGGTCTGGGTATTGACCACATTCAGTACAAATTTGACTGATTTTCATCCACGCATGCAAAGGATACAGGCCTTTCTTTGTAACTACCCAAAAACACTACCAACACGATGTTTCCTGATATTTGTAAAGGGATAGTTAACGTTCCTTAATTGATGGCGCAAACAAGAACCTGAACAAGAGGCCGGCGCCAAGATCTCCAATTCTGACCCCCCTTTGATTTTTCTTTTCTTTGGGGTATCTCAAGGTCTGGGTGTACCGCATGGTGCCAAACACCCTGCAGTGCAGGATTTCCGCCAGGCCCGGATTACCCAATAGGCACAGTAGGCACTGCGCCTAAGGCCTACGAAAACTTTGGGGCCTGCGAAAAATTCGGGGGCCTACGAAAATACTGCGGTGTGCCATAAAACACATATATGCCTATAATATACCAACATCGCAACCACGCGCACAAGGTTTTTAAAAAGTTCTATAGGGACTCTCTCAGAATTTTCGATTTCACCAACTGACGCTGTACAGCATGTAGACATACATTAAGTACATGCAGGCCTAATTTACGTGTAAAGGTTGTCGTTCTGAAGCATGGTGCGGTGCCAACCCTGGGCGTTGATCGGTGGGGGGCGGGGGGACATGTCATTCCCCCAACTGTTTTCGTCTCTGAATAAATAATTGCAGCCTACATTTAATTCTGTAGCTAAGAAAAGCATTTCAATGACTCCAAACTCGAAAATGATGTTTAAATGAGGATCTTTTGCTAAAGCCTTGCCAGTATAGTCATAAATTGCCTCAGATCGCACCGCAGAGCGTCTTTCGGGGCCCTTAAGCGGGCCCCGAACCTCACGCCGTTCAGGCTTCGCACTCGAATTAGTTCTCATCAGGATACACATGTTTGTAAACACCCCCACACTTTTCAGAAGCGATTGACGCCCTTGGTGCCAACAGGTTTTTATACCAGTTTGGTCTGGCTTGATTTGTACATTACTTTGTGCGCTGAATTTGGTGTCGGTGGCTATTTCCGCCAATATGACTGGTGAAATCAGACCTCAGAAGAACACGGATGGTCCGCAGAACTATTGCAGACTTGAGAACACGGGCCCAACTATGCATTGATTTGAATAACAGACAGATGGAGAATCGAGAGGCAGGACAGTGAAATGTGAACCTAATCTGTAATTCAGTTTCAAGTCAATACATCTAATTGCATTTCATTCATATCCTGCTCTGTTATTCCGTTTATTTCCTTCATTGTCCAGGGGCCGATTGTTGCTATTGTGTTCATAGCAACTAGCAAGAGGCCTATCCTGAACATGGTGTTGGTAATGTTTTGGGGGTAGTCACAAAGAAAGGCATGTATCCTTTTCATGCCTGGCTGAAAGCAGCGGCGGACAGAACGCTTTTCAAACTGGGGGGGGGGGGGGGGAGACTCAAAACTTTATCTGGAGAGGGGCACCGTAAAAATGGTAACCTTTCCCGATTTTTTGGGAGTGAACGAATTATCCAAAGGGAATTTTTTTTGTCCGAGGTCGCCAACGTTTAGTGTTTTTGAGTTTTATTTTACTTACCATATTTCAAATATGTGGGTCAGAGAAAATCAACCCGTTCGTTAACATCTGACGAGGTAACGATTTTCGGGGTGGGGGAATGTTTATACGTATTTATCCAGCAGTGAAAAAAGCCATTAATTTTTTAGCCTAAATTGTCAACCTGGCGCCGCATAAAATGCATATCAATGATTGAATATCACTTTTGACAGTGTGTGGCAGGAGGGCATTTGGAAAGCTCTAGCATTCTTTGGATTCACCAACAAAATCATACGACTTCTAGAAGCCCTCTGTATAGCAAATCACAAAGTAGCGTGAGGGTCAACGGAGAACTCACTAACTGTAAACAACCGTCAAAGCCATTAAAACCAAAAGTAGAAATGATATTATTTTGTACACATTAACTGCTAAAAAGAGGGGAAAAAAGGAGTGCGTGCGTTGAAATTACCAATCACTCATTAAAGATGGGAGAGTGTCTAGCTCCCGGAACTCACAAGTAAACAATTACAATAGAGGCTTCTCGACCGATATTTTAGCTTTTTAAAATTAATACATGAACGTCACCAAACTGACTTATTACCAATAAAAACTCAAAACATCAAATGTTCAATCAAATATGAAACGAAAGCATAGAATAATGCAGGTAGTTGAATCACTTGAACTTCCTAGCGTATAATGATTGATGAGCAATGAACGCCCGTTAACATGTCAAGGATTTGGTGTTGTATAATTGGTATTTTAAAGGTAACATAATGTGTCCGAGATCGCCAACATTCAGAACTTTGATTATTATTTTACTTAACGTATTTTAAATATCTGGGTTACAGAAAATCCACATTATGTCTCAACACCCCTCTTATCCTGAACGCTAGATTCGCCCCTGGGGAAGGGGGTGGGGGCAATGGTCATACGTATTTCCAACAATGAACAAAGCCATTCAATTTGGAGCCAAAACTGTCAACATAAGACTGGCGCTGCATACCATGCATATCAATGATTAAATATCACTGTGTGATATCAGGTCCCGCGTTAGCTTCATCTCCTTGCGCATACTCCATGCAACCCAGTTTAAAAAGCAACATATATGTGACTGGAATAACGACTAGCCCATCATTTTTGAGGAACAAGTGTGTACCCCGAAATTCATTGAGGTCCAATTATACGGAAACTGTACGTTTTCAAGGTACAGTTGTGTTAATGTTTTTTTTCTATTTTTCATCGATCGATCAAAAGTTCATCACGTAGACAAAAATGTTTTTGAGCCCGAAGGGGGCATTCCAGTAGACAGTACAGCCTTTAACAAATCGTTTAATCGTTAAAACCAAAGTAGAAACGACATTAAGCCAAACGCTTTGGCATGATTTAAATAATTATTACACAGACATGTTGCAGCAATATTGAACTAAGCTATTGGCGCCAAGCTACCAGCATTTTTTTCGCAAAAACAATTAAAACATTTTTATCGTATTCCCATCATTTTGAAATGATTGACGCATGTAATTAGTCCCGGATACGAAAGCAAATAGCAAAACATGTGGCAGCACCAGTCGTGAAAGCGAAAACGTCCAAAACCCCCACAAAAACCCAAGACATGTCAACAGACTTGTATATTCGAGTCACCAAACATCAAGTCAGAGCTCGAGTCACCTCTTCCGAGTCCAAGTCCGCGTCACAAGTCACAAAGGTCGAGTCCGAGTCCAAGTCACGATCGAGTCACGAGTCAACTTTAATACATGACTGCTAAAATCTCAAAGTGTAAATGTTTCTATTTTTCACAGCTTTTCTCTAATTTAATGAACTGGAAATACGTCATGTATTACTCACAAATAAGGCAAGGCATTAGTGTATGGAAAGGATAATCTGGTACCAAACACTATCAAGCTTGCACTTACGCAATATCAAGTGTGGACGCTGGAGTACTTGTTTTGACATTTCAATATATCGGAAACAAGCCAGCTGCAAGTGTGTATATACAGTACTTATATTAGTTGCGTTTCTTCTGCACTGCACAGACTGTATCGCTTGCTCAGTTGAGGATCGTCTTCAAACTAATGTGTAATTGAATTGTTGAAAAAAAGAAGTGATTTGTGGTAATTTTGATCGAGCCCCGAGTCATGCAGGTCGAGTCCGAGTCCAAGTCCGAGTCTTCAGGGTCGAGTCTGAGTCCGAATCCGAGTCATTTGTCATCATGACTCAAGTCCAAGTCCGGGACTCGAGTCGGACTCGGACTCAGAGTCATACAAGTCTGCATATCAACGACAAAGAAAGTTGGGCGACAGCAACGACGGTTGCTCCTTGCACGGAATCCCATTATTAGAATACAAGCAAAACATCCACCCATTCATGAAAAGTCACGTAGAAACATGTTTTATCATGAACTAGCTCTTGTTACATAAATGTATTTCCATGGTAGTCAGATTAATCACCGCAACCCCTGTTTTACAGCAGACGTGGAAGGGAACGAGGCGTAACTTATGTGAAAATAAGCCTTTCTAAATTATAAAGTCACATTCTTCCGGGGATTCTTTTGAATGTTTACTAACCATATTTCAAATGCATTGGTCGGGAGAAATTTAATCACCATCTTTTCCACTTACGGAGAATGTTTGAAGAATCTGTTTGCATCTGGAACGATATTTTTGTCCTTGCCAATTTTAGGCAGCGATTATAAACCCATCAAAGTTTGAGCTAAAATGCGTAATAGGCAAACTAGAACCGCGAATAATGCGCATAAGCTCCCACATGAAAGAACGGGTCTTGATGCAATGATTTTGAAAACAAACATTTGTGCGACTTGTTTCAAGAGTACAGCAACACGAGTGACTTGAATAAAGCCTACCCAAACACAATGGTACTTGGATCTGCCTACAGACTACTGCAATAAAAGCGGCTCGATTTTTGAGGACCACAATTTGGACACCGAAATTCATTTGCACGATATTTACACGAAAACCGCAATATTTTCAAGTTATACATGTAGTTGTTTGTATGTTTTTGGTATAGCCTTTTTATATTTTGTGGGAAACGCGTTTTATAGGGTACATTCCAGTCGAAAGTACTCCTTTAAACCCAACCCGCCACGAAAAGTGCCCTCCATAATAGTCCTGCTCATGGGCCAGGAAAACTATGCCCGATGGATCGCCATAATTTCATGACTTACGCCTGGAAATGCGTATACGTAAGCCACATATGCCTGCAGCATCAGATGTAAACAACTGCTTCCCCATCTGTTCTCAGGAACAGTTAGACATGAGGTTAGTTTTCTTTCAAGCAGACCTTTGAAATGTGATAAGTAAACAATCTAATTCGTAAACTTTTGGGAATTTCATGACGATGTCACCTTTAAAATGATGTATGATGACTTTTGTCTTAAATATACTAGTCTTGCTACTTTCGAGTTTCACTCCCGAAAGATACTTTTTTTCTAAGCTTTCCACCAATAAAAAAATTACCCACTGTGGTATGACACGTGGAATTCCAAATCACTCCCCTTTTACAAGTTTCAAATAGTCTGCAGCCCGGCAATAATTCAGGCTTTTCTTTGAATACATTAGAACCGCAAAGGCAACCCTCAATGGAAGCTTTATTTCATAATCAGGGGGTTGCAAACGCCTTATATATGATTTTTTTTCTTCATGAAATAAAAATACAATATAAAAATTCGTCATACTTGTGGGGTGATGTTCCTTTCAGAACACATCACCCCACTACTTTAACAATAGAAAAACATCACCCCAGAAGAGGACCTTTAGAAAAAGGGATACAAGGAACACAATGCTCTGGCTGGGATGTCCGCCCGGACTGTGTGGGGACTTAAATTGTCTAAACTGTCTGCGTAATTTACATCGTGTAACAATATAAATCTACCCCCCCCCACACCACCCAAACCTGCTGAATATTGCCATAACCAGTGATAAAAACGTGTCACGGACAGGAGTATGGCCTTGTAGTATGCCTTGCTGTTATGAACGAGGTCCGATCGGAAGGCATGAGACTGATCCCGGAAAAGCCTTCGTTAGTGCATGTACTTTTACCTTCAAACGCCTTCAACTTTTACTTTGTAAGGACAAATGGGAAGGGAACCATACAGTAATTGAAAGGGAGGCACCTAGACAACGGGCTTTCCTCCCCAGACACATTTGTATCTGGTTTGGTGCGGCATGTCACAATACAAACGTTAACAAAACACCTGGTTTCAAAGACCTGTTTGTGTCTCGTGGTCTCCGGTCTGGCTTTGTCAGGTTTTTTTGGTATAATTCTTCACCTATGCAACTTATTACAATCAACAATTAGTCTTGGCCTCGGACCTGGACAATTTCCAAAGTGTGCGCTCGATTGCATACATAGATTAATGGATTCTTTGTTGTCCTCGAACGTACATCGTCTGTTGAAAATGGTCCTGTAATTACGTCTATACCAGAGAGTGTAGTCACGCATACCATTTATTGTCGTGGTGTTTAGCAGTCACATGCATTTGGGTAGAAAAAACCCTTGCCTTGTGTAAGGACAGGAAACAGACGTTGGACGATGTAGAGGGCGGGGGGGGGGGGGGGGGGGGGGGGAAGGGGGAGTTTTCCTGGCCCCGGCGACATTTTGTCATTTTTTTATCGGGAACGAAAGTGCCAGCACCTCATGCCGCTACTTGTATAGTGCTCTCTCTTTTTTTATTACATAATGAATGAAACAAACATGGGACCACTTTTTCAGAAAAAAATAACCTATTTCCCCCGGCCCCAAACCTGGATACGCTGCTGATGAGCGTGTGTTAATTAAAAACGCGTGCAAATCCCAGATCGACGGTTAGCAAGGGTTTGGGGCATTGTAAACCATTGTGGTGTAGTAGATCTAATTGACTCGTCACTGATCTTTTCCCAGGGTAGTTCTTAATTACCAGCGGACTTGTGATAATATCGAGAATATTACCCTGAGCTGTTGCGTGTCCGGACGGGAAGTCTGTGTCGATGCATCATGATCCTCTCTGGCTGACCTCGTCAAGAAGGATCTAGAGTATCCATGGTACATACGAGGGTAAATCAGAGAAAAAAATTGTGGTCTGAGGTTAGGCAAAACACGTACAACAAAACACGGACAGGCAAACAAACAAACAACCCAACAATTTAACAAAAATGAAACAAAAACCAATACCATTTCCTCCACTTCAAAATAAAAGTTGTAATGCTTATATGGCGCGTTCCATCGCTATGCTTATATAGCGCTTTTCCGTCTCATCAACAATCTCAAAGTGCTTTACAATTATTATTACCCCGTTCATCAGGCCACGCGACCAGGTGGCAGCCGATATCAGGGCACATTCAGTCCTCTACCCTCACAGGTACCCATTCATATTGTGGAGAGAGTCATTGTAGTTAAGTGTCTTGTCTAAGGGATAAACACCATGTTCCTGGCAGGGTTCTACGGAAGCCCGTTAGGGCCAGGTACCTCTTTCTCTTCCACGGCGGTGCGTTTCTCTTTCACGGTGGTGCGTTTCTCTCTCATGGTAGCTGGCCTCGCTTTCATAATGTGCGACTTATCAACTCACGGCCGCGACTTCATTATGTCGCGGCCGCGAGTTATTATTTCGCGGCCGCGAATTAAGTCGCGGCCGCGAGTTAAACGTTATGAAAGCAAGGCCAGCTACCATTAAAGAGAAACGCACCGCCGTGAAAGAGAAAGAGGTACCTGGCCCTAACAGGCTTCCGTAGTGTTCAAACCCACGCACCATCGTACATGAGTCAAACACCGTAACCACTGGACCATGGCATTCACTTGCCCCCCCCCCCCCACCATGAGATGGCGGCGTGCCTGTCATGTCTTCTTTTGTTGTTTTTAAAATTGTATTGATGCTTGTAAAGTTTATTATTCAGAAAATAGTATATGTTTGAAAGGAAAGTCTTCGACGTACAAACGTTTGAACTTACAATGACTTCATTTTTCAGTAAAAGTCTAAATAAATTTTATGAAGTGAGAATCCAAAACACTCACCGAAATCGAAAATCGGGGAATGGGCGGAGGGGGGGGGGGGGGGGGGGGGAGGGGGGGGGTGTGGAGGGTGGAGATAGAGGATGGGGAATATACAGATTTGATACTTCTACGTATACATACCTACGTCTACATGGCTGCATTTAGACCCCTTTCCGGCAATTTCTATTGTTTGATAACAGTTAAATTACAGATTGACTCTTTCTTCTTTTTTTCTTTTCTTTTCCCTTTTTGGTGTGTTTCGCTGGCCCCCTCGCGAAGCCCCTGTGCCTGCCCATTGCATTACTAGGCAGTTTTAGCCCGAGGAAAAATTTCGCTTAACCGTGAGAGAAATTTGGCGAAGTGTTGGGGATTTGTGTCTCAACAATTATCTGCCTTTCCCAACTTTTCCTTTGACGGTGCATCTATCTATTTCTTAACTAACTGTTTAGCAGATGACATTTAAAACTTTATTTCACATGAAAAGTGATCATTGCGCATTCAACATCTTCTCACACAATCATAGTTTGTCCATGTTTTCAGCCACCCCTCTCTTAAAAGGAACCTGGATTCTTCCATGTTAGTGGAAATTAAAACGGAAACGCGTCAAGGTGAAGACATTTAACCAATCAGTGTTGCTCGTACGACAAGGAAACATCCGCTGCCCTTGTCGCGCGGGGTATAAAGCTAAAGCACAGGCCGGGAATCAGCGTACCTGGGCTGATGAGGTGTTTGTGTTGACCTAGGTTCTTGTGTTGAATTCATCGCATCATGAAGACACTTGCTCTCATCGCGTTGGCTGTAGTCCTGTTCACGGCTTTTGTGCAGGAGACAGCGGCTTGGGAGGATGGGGACAAAGCGCCTACATATAAAGGTGAGTTATTCTCAAGACTAGTAAAAAGCCATAGATGAAATATGGAATATAGGTTATTCTTTGCTCATGTAATACATTTGTAGGTCGTATTGTCTTGTCCCACCCCCCCGTCTCGTTTTGTCACGCGAGGCCTTGTCTTCTAAAGTTAGTTTTAAGATAATTATCGTTCTTAATTGTATTTTAGAGTGGAAGGAGGCGATGGACAAATATTCTGACTCCAACGGCTGCGATTGCTCTAATTCAGTGTGCAAGTGTTGTCTTGGATTCAAAATCGTCGGGAAAAAGATCAACGGTAGGTTTGCATCTATTTATACACCCCGAGTTTGTGTTGCATTCAATAGGGGACGGTGATCAATAGAGGATAACAGTATACGTTGAACAATAGAGGATAACAGGGTCCACAATCCCCGAAGGTCCACAATTGACGAACGTGTACAAAACATATGTAAAGTCTTCCTATTAGAAGAAAAAAAGAGGGACAATAGGGGTCCGCGATTGAAGGTAATTATACGCACTTGTGCGCGTTTTTCAAGAAGATTGAATGTCATGTATCGAGTAAAATAGCCCATAAATGGGTATTATCGCTACCAGAAAGCTTTGTATATAGAAAGCTTTAAGATTACATCACAAGGATTTTATTTGTGTCCTTAATCATGGTTTTCACCCCTTTTTGAAAAAAAAAATGAAATAGTCGAATGTGCAACTTTCTCTTACAAGTCAAGTTTGATTTGCGTGAATTTATAAACTTTCACAACTCAACTGGGATCCACCGGTTTTTGTGTATGCATCTCGAGTCTGAACTCACTTATTCCAGTGAAGTACAACTGCTGCTCCACAACTATTGTGTGCTCACTTGACCCAGTTTTGCTATACGATTTTGTTTTGTTTTGAACACTGCAGCTTGTGGTACGACTGAATACAGCAACAACTTCATCAAGGTGGCTCTGAAGTTCCTGGGTAGCACCGTCGCCAGTGCGTCATTCTTAGGTACGGTTTTAGTGCTTGTCTGGCAGCTATACTGTATACAGCTGGTTCCAAAAGGTTTACACTTTTGTCAGAGACAGATTTCTCCAATTTAAAGACTCATGTTGAAATTGTTTTCAGATATTCTTAAACTACAAGATATTGGTCGTTTATGGTAAAACAGCGTTGAAAATACAGCTCATGTTAAGAAATAACGGCCATTCACAAAAAAATTGTCCAAACTAGTTTGTCCACACAATGGCAGTTATGCACGTTCTTTGTGGTCTTTCTGCACACAGTGCTATTGTGTTGACAATATTTCACAGAAGCATGTGGTTTTGACCATCCGTCTTGAAGCCATCGCTATTTCTTAATTTAGGCTTCTCTTTCAGCACCATTTTTACCTTGTAAAACAATTAATATGTAGTTTAAAAGTATATTGAAATAATCCTCACGCCTCCCAAATTCCGAGAATTTCGCACCTACTCAAATCTGGACATAAATATTGCGACCTTAATTTAACTGAATTTCTGTTCAGAAGAATTCTGGACATTGGGCGATTTGTTAGGAAAATGTAACTAATTCTTGGGGAAATGTTATAAAATTTGGAACTCTGTTTATAGATTTGGGCATGCATAGCGTTTGCCGCCTTACAGGAAACTACACATTGACAAAATGAAAAGAAAAGGACAAACAGATACTCGAATCACACGCTTACTAAACTACCGAACTACTAATATCCCCGCGCTGCGAATTTGCCGACCATCTCCTTTAAAGCTACAGTCCATCATTTGCAGCTGTCCATAAAGTAACTGACGTAATTAGTGTTGAAAACGTACTTGGTTGAACGATAGTAAGGGGACTAAACTCCCAGTGAAATTATTCTTTCTGGCAAGCTGTCATTTTGAAGAAATCGACGAAAGAAGGCCTTTATTCGGCGAAATTTCCGGTTAGTAGTTCGTTTTATTTATTCGGCGCAGCGCGCGCAAGCGTTGACACGACGCACACACGCGCGTGCAGTTGCTTTAATTCGTCGTATCAGTGCGCGACATCGCGTAGCTGCAATCCGCTCAGTGAGAACGTGTCTCGGACACTGAATTCAGGCCCAATTCAAAACATGATTCAGCAACTTTTGATTTGAAATAGAGATCGTAGAATGTTGTTTTTCTCGAAATATACAGCTGAGGCTGAGCTGAAACTTCATCAGGTTAGTTGTTAGCACCCTTCTTTAGATTTTGAGCGCATTTGTTGCTTCAAACGAACAAAATGCACAACTAAAAAATGATGGACTATACCTTTAATGCACCTGGAAAAATTAAGTCTGTAGCAAACTCTAGGTAGCGCACGGAATATTGTTTATCGCCCGAATATGCCAGTTCGGTCAACCTCGTCCCAAGTGCTTTATTTCCAACGTCGTTTCCAATTGAAACCCTGGATAGGAAACTTTCTTCCTGTATCCCTGATTCGATACCGCAATTGGCTAGAAATTGATTTATATCGTATACTTGGTGTTGTTATTCACAACGTGCAGTACGTGTTTTCGCGATCATTCGTCCACACCTTGTCGAAAATATTCATTTCCTTCCAAATTGTTCTTATTAATATGAAATGTGATACTACATGTTGTCTCGTTAAGATCGCAACAGTTTAATCAAAATAAAATCGTATTTTCGTAACTCACGCCATGCTCGCGCTGCGACGAATACGGGCGATTCACAATAGTGCGCCTCCAAGAGTTTGCAACGCGTTGGCCAATCACAATGCGCGAAATCTGTCGACCTTTTCCAAACGCGCATTGGGTCGACAGATTTCGCACATTGTGATTGGCCAACGTGTTGCAAACTCTTGGAAGCGCACTATTGTGAATCGCCCGTATTGATTCTGTTTTTACCCCAGACACCGCATACAAAAACAAACGCAAATGTTATGCACAGACAGGCACCAGACAGTGACTATTCCTCATTTGCATACGTGTTCAAAAATCTTGCTCATGCAAATGATCCAATACCAGGGTGAGAGAGCAGGTAGTGGTGGGCGCGTACTGCTCGACACCCGGAGGTTGCAGTTCGGTATTTCAACTACGCATGCTCACAATTATAATGGGTCATGGGTCATTTGGGATAATCGAAGGCGTATTATGAACGCGCACAGAAACGGGCGCACGCACGACGCTCGTGCGCCAATTACAACCAGAATGGGCGTTCGCGTTATATCGCGTATCATTACGTCAGCGATTTTCCCCGAATGACCTTTGACCTGGACAACTTCATCGACATACCGAACTAGCTTATTGGCAAAATATTTATCATTTTATTTTTTCAGTGACAGACGATAAGTACGAAGCGTGTGGCAAGAAGAGTGGTATCAAGGTTTGTCTGTCACTGGTTGACGTCGTCAAGACCACCAGCTCCTTCTCAGCTAAAACCAAGATCAAGGTGAAGGGAGTCGGCAGCAAGAAGTCTGACAGATTCACCATACCTTTAATTTAGCTCGGAACCAGGCCTACTACCAACCATCCATCACGTGATGATGATGTCAATTTTGACTACTGGATGTTTTTGTATAACCGTAAACTTATCTGGATTTCATTATGAAAAGCCCATTTCCGTTGAAACTATCCTCACGGAATAGTCCTGATCCGAGACAACGCGGCATTATGACGTCAGTCTTTGTTTACACGTGCGCTTCATGGTTCTAGTCACCACCTGGCTCCCATAGGAAAATGCACATTTATACACAGTGTGACGTCATTATGTTTCAGGCACACTCATTACAATTCGGGCGATTCACAATGTAGTGCGCCACCAAGAGTTTGCCACAAATTCGCAGCGCGGGATATTTGAAATTGTAATAGTTTGTCCGGTCAGTAGTTTCGTAAGCGTATGATCTGAGTATCTGGTTGCCCTTTTTTCTTTTTATCAACATGGTGTTTTGGTAAGGCGGCAGGATGCTATGCCCGAATCTATAACAAATTAGCACAAGTTATTTACTGACACTCGTTGAAATGGGCCATGTTTCGTCGACCATAAACTTGAAAAAATTGACTGTCCGTGGCAAACTCTGCTTCAGTACTGCGTAAGGGGTTATAAACAAACTCTTGGTGGCGCACAACATTGTGAATCGCCCGAATATTAGCCAGACTCTTTCTGAAACACCGTACGCCGACAGAGAGGGCGCCACATTATAAAGACAATAGACATTAAACGTATCACGGCATCGCAACTTTGAAAACCTGGGAAGTGTCAAGTTCAAACTACCAAACAGTCAAATTTGAATATTCTAGACTTATATGGCAATCAACCTTGCTTTAGGATCAGTCTCAGTATTGTAACGAACGCGGAATGGATTATATTTTATCTTTTGGTAGTTATCAAAATTCGATGGAGCTGCTTGTATCTTTGACATTGTCAGAGATAACGTTCAGACTGTAATGCAGACTCTTCATTATTTTCAGCAGTAACATAACCTCGCAGAGCAGAAGCAAATCGATCTGCAATTATGATAAGTTCATAACCTTCATCGGACAATATTTTTCAAGCCAACATCATGATTTAGCTGGTCAACTTGACTAGAATTCGGGGGAAAAGTTATTGGAGTTTTGGGGTCATCGCATATATGTTATTAACAACCACACATTGATGGTATTGTTTTCACATTGCGACATTGACTGCTAGGGATTGGTCGTACATAATATGTTATAACATAATATGTAGTAACCATTTATTAATTAATTAATAAATGCATTAAAAAGATCGATGATGCACCGTACGAAGCCTAGCCTAGTAACAATTGAGAGACAAAGCCATATAATCTGTATTAATATCTAATATCAACCTCGTCCCCATTGTGTGGAGCAGTTAACCGTTAAGGATTTAGTGCTAAATAATTAGTTTTTTCAATGTAACATTTGTCCGAGGTCGCCTATATTTGGGGGGGGGGGGACAGATCTGGGGGGGGGGGGGATTAATGGGGAGGGTGTCGCAACCATTCAGTTCCGCTGCAAATGACCGCTGACTATTGTTATGAAACTCGTAAAATGGGGCCAAAATAATAAATGTTATACTAAAGTTCCTTCTTCCTAAGTCTTTTCTCAAATTGCCGTGGAATGCAGAAAGCACGCCTTCACTTACCCACCCACCCCCATTTTCGTGAAAGCTTGATCCGCCCCTTGTGGGCAACGGTAATGTCAGCTGTGAATACAGCCATTGAGTTTTGAGAATAAACTGTCAACGTAGGGGTCCCCAACCAAATAAAGGCCAATAAGTCCAACGCCTCATAGGTCTGACGCCTCATAGGTCCGACAATCGAATTTACTGTAGTTTGGTCCGTATTTGTCCGAGTACAATGAGTTAAGTTGACCGCAGTGCGCCCTCTCACGTTCGTAAAACGACCTCAGTCACATCGTCGTATAATTGGAAAACTCGTTCTTGCCTTGTCATCAATTGAACCTTTCTCTGTTACGGTCTACAGCTTCGACTGGTTTGACTGGAGTCCTGCTGCTGCTCAATTTTAATGTGTTTTTAATGAGTTACGATCGATTATAAGCTTTATGTGGCCTCTCTGGGCTCCTATAAATTTTGCACTAAATTTAGTCGGGCACCATTTGCAGTAATCAGCTGACATTTGAAGAAAAAAAAATGGAAATAAAATACAGCCGCATCGCCGCACCGCTATAGGGCAAACTCCGTACCAGAAACCGAAGACTTTTTTTGGCCTAACAGGGCATTATATTCCTTCGAAATTCGTAAACGGAAAAGTTTAAGGTAGAGGGACGAACCTGCGTTCACAGGAACGGAGTGCCCATCTCTTTTTCGTTTAGCGATTGGGCCAGACTCATATGCTGCGATGGGGGGATCGCCACACCTCCTCCACAGCGAGTCTGCTACCTTCCCAGCATTGAATAATAATGCTGGTAATTGAGGTAAAGCGCCTTTCAAGGGCACAACACGCATGGTCACGGTGGGGCTCGAACAAGGGCGGATCCAGGGGGGGGGGGGCCAAAGGGGGCCATGGCCCCCCCCCAAAACGAAACCAATTTTTTTTTTTTTTTAATGTGACATCGCAATAAAGGCAGGCAATGAGTACACCACCATCTTTTCCTCAAAAAAAATTGGTTAAAGTGGTCAGAAATTGCCTCAGATCGCACCACAGAGCATCTAGAATCCAAAATTTTTCGGGGCCCTCACGGGCCCCGAACCCCACGCCGTAATTTTTTAGACCCACTTTTTTTGGGGGGACCACATTTTTTTTTGGCCCCCCCAAAAATTGTGTTCTGGATCCGCCCTTGGGCTCGAACCCACAATCTTACGATCATGAATCCTGTGCTCCACCGCTGGACCACACGTGCCCACTATACGGAAAAGAAACGTGAAATATTTGAGAAAAAACAGGTATAATAACAAGATACATTAAGTATGCGTAATTTACATCGTGTGACGTTATAAACAAAAATACCTGCTGAATATTGCCATGAGCAGTGATTAATAAGAACGTGCCGCGGATAGTTGTATAAGCAAGGTCAAATCGGCAGGCTTGGGATTAACCCCGGAAAAGCCTTGTTTGTTAGTGCAGGTAGCTTTACCTCCAAATGCTTCAACTTTCAATTTGTAAGGAAATTAAACTAAGCTTTCGGTCCCATCAATTGAGAGCTAAACAGGAGCCTGACCTATATTTTCCACATGTTGTTTGGGTATTGACTTGAAGTGTTTGACTTTTCGATGGTTTCTAATTTTGTTCTAGATCTTATCTGAAATTGACCGGAATAGTGGCTTCAAGTTACCAGCAATTTTTCGCAAAAGCAATACAAACATTTGTTACATTTTTTCCTTCATATTTTGAATTGATTGTTGAGTGTAATTAGTTCCGTACGGGCGAGGTCGGATCCGAGGGCTTGACCCCGAACAATCCTTCTTGAGTGAAGATGCCTCCAAATGCATTCATCTTTTAACTAGTAAGGCAATAAAACTAAGTTGTTAGTCCAGTCAATTGGGACAAACAGGACCTGACCTAGAACAACTTACAATATATAATATATTTTGATGTTATCACTCAAAAGAGTGGAAAGGTTCTTTTATAAACTTTTCTCTAATATTTATTTCATCAGACGTTAACGTAAACATTAATATGGAGGGCGTCATGTTTTCGTTTGCGTCCGTTGACCGTCAGAAAATCCGTTCACATCACGTATGAGACTTCGCGAGACACGACTGATCACAGCAGACGACTTTTCTATATCAACCAATTATTAAAATAAATGGTTATTTACACTGCCGCGTAATGCTATAGCATATTTTCTTAAAAGAAAATCAAGCATTTGTGATTATTTTTGCTGCCCGAATTATTTATTGGTTAAAATAAATCACTTTGTGTTCAATAAACCTTTTTTTTCAGGGAAAATCTTTGCATAAACAGGTCTACTTGAAACAAGGGCAGGAAATGATATACACAAAGAGTTCCATTTAAAGTTAAATTTTTAGGTGTCTACGCCAATAGGTCGAAAGTCCAATTTTGAATATTAGGGAAAAATCCAAAATCCGAGATTGGAGTGTTCCTTTTGTGATAAATTCAGGTCATTGGTATCACCTATAGATACCATACAAATTCTCAAACATATTAATATTTATAATCAAAAACTTAATGAAGCAAATTCACGGGATTAAAATCTTGCAGTGAAAATTCAGCTGAATTGTGGGCTTTCGAGAAAAGAAATTAGGCAGTGTGACAAATGTATTACCTCGACAAATAATTAACGTGCCCCCAGATCGTAAGCCTTACGCTTACAACATTTTCTGTAAGCATTACAACCTGAGCCTAGTATTTCCTGAATCCAACACATAATTTTTAGGTGCTCAATTCATAATCCATGCGTGCACTCTCCAACCGTTTTCCATCTGTGTATTATCAAAATGATTTTTAGACATTCCTTTTTTGCAATTAATCGTATCTTGTCTGGGTACTTAATGCGTACTTTGGGCGGATGAAAAATGTAGAATATTGAGTCAAGTTAAAAATGTGTATTGCTCTTAATATAAAACTCACTGTAAAAAAGTATGTAAAAAGCAAAAGGAAATTGTACATGTACCCCCACCCAATTTTTAAATTTCCAACGCAATGTTGTTTGCTGCACTCGCATGTGGTCACGAATCCCAAACTTTAGCTTAAAATTCACATGTAAATCGATGCAGGTCACCAAACAAATTGTTCGAGGACAAAATGTCCGAAATTTTAAATCTAAAAAAATGCTTAAAAAAACCCACCCTTCCACTCAGTAGGAACAATTAATTTTTTTCACATGTCGTTTATGTATTTATATGAAGTTGTTTGACGCTTTAATTGTTTCTATCGAAATTTGTTCTGAGTCTCATCTTAAATTGACCTCCATTGGCTTCAAGTTACCAGCAATTTTCCGTAAAAACAATTAAAACATTTGTTATCGTTTGTTTTCATAATTTTGAAAATTGATTGTTGCATGTAATTAGTTCCGTACTCGGTATGCACAATGCCTTCAACTTTTAATTTGTAAGACACTGAAACTAAGCTATTGCCTTCAATTTACCAGCAGTTTTTTTGAAAAAAAAACCCAATTACATGTTTTTGTCTTCGTTAAGATTTTTTCTCCTCTCTTTTCAACCTTTTTCCACGACAGGTTTTGTTAACGTTTTTCTTCCACCGGTAAACTTTGCATTTTCCTTAATCTGATCGACTAGAGATTTGGCATTTACATAAACCACCACCACCACATATGGCCCTAAAAAGATTTTCGTCATCATGGCGTCATCAGGTGTCAATTTACGTCATATTAAAGGTACATTTTTGCTCCATATATGTATTTTTACACGTTTTTCTTTAAACAATCCACTTGGCACTTTCATATGTTTGATTGACTATAAACTTGGCAGACACTTAGACTCTCAGCTGGTGATTGTCGCTTATGATTTTCGTCACAATGAAGTCATCGTGTATCACGTGACGTAGCACATGGACAGGAATGTGTTACAAATGAAAATTGAACTTTTCTAAGGCCCATAGATGCGATTTAGTTGTAACATGATATAAGCCGGGACGCACTACAAATAAAAATTCAAGTGATGCCATTATGACGTCACCACAAGTCATGGAACATCACAGTAAAGTGGCATTTTTCTAAGGCCTATATCTACAAACCAAAAAGCTTGACATTATTCTCATATATACCGGGATGTGTTAAAGATGAAAATTCAAATGACCTCAACATGAAGTTATCAGATGTCACGTGACGTTACACTATCGGGACATTTTTTTCTGCAGATAACAATTCAAGAGTTTGTGCGTATGAAATTTGAACAGTCGTCGTCATGTCGTCATCACATATCATGTACGTCTGTTCACGACCATTATGTCCGTTTGGCCGATTACGCCCGACAACCGATTATGACGAGCGACGACCGTTTTAAGCAAGATATGGAGGATCCATGGTGCTTGCGAGGGTAGAAATCCCTGAAAAAATGTGTTTCAAGTTTTGGAAAGCCGCCCTTCCCGTCTTCTCCACCTATTTCTCAACTGACCATTTAGCAGATGACTTTCAAAACCTTATTGCACCATGACATTTGCGCATTGAACATCTTCTGTCACAATTATAGTTTGTCAATGTTTGCAGCCACCACTTTAAACGGAACGTGAATTCTCCGATATTTCGTGGGTGATTAAACCATCAAGGTGAAGACATCAACCAATCAGTGTTGCTCGTACGATAAGGAAACATCCACTGCCCGTGTCGCGAGGAGTATAAAGCTGAAGCACAGGCAGGGAATCAGCGTACTTGGACTGTGGTGTTTGTGTTGACCTAGGTTCTTGTGTTGAATTCATCGCATCATGAAGACACTTGCTCTCATCGCGTTGGCTGTAGTCTTGCTCACAGCTTTGGTGCTGGAGACAGCGGCTTGGGAAGATGAAGACAATGCGCTGACTGATGAAGGTGAGGTTTTCTCAAGACTTATCAACAGATACGTCAGGATGAAAAATGGAAAACAGTTTGTTATCCGTTTACAATTTCTTTTCGATTGTGTTGTCTTGTCCTTCTTTCCCCTCTTCTCGTCTATGTTTTTCTCATTTGGCCTGTTTTTTTTTCTCATTTGGCCTGATCATCTAAAGCTGGTGAAGGATAAATATTACTCTTAATTCTATTTCAGAGTGGATGGAGGCATTGGACGAAGTATCGGTCTCTGGCGCCGGTTGCGATTGCTCAAATTCAAAGTGCAAGTGTTGTATTGGATTCAAAGTCTTCGGGCAAAAGATCAACGGTAGGGTTACATCTTATTATACACTCCTGCTTTGTTCCAAAATAATGGAATCATGTAGCATATACCGAGCATAATTAAGCCCAGAAACTGGTTTTCACGCAAACAGAAGAGCTTTGTATCGAAAGCTGTAAGGCGATAGCACAATGATTTATTTGTAAACATAAAGGAAATAAAGGTTAATCACTTTTTGAAATAATTGAAATCATCGCATGTTGTACTCTCTCTCAAGTCCAGTCTGATTCCGGTAAATTCAGAGCTTAGCTTTGGTTCACCAGTCTTGTACAGGCATTTCATTCCAGCTGACTTATTCCAGTGAAGTACAACTGCTGCTAATCCACAACCATTATGTGCTCACTTGACACAGATTCGTTACATGATTTTGTTTTGTTTTCAACGCCACAGCTTGTGGTACGACTGAAATCACCACCAGCTTCGTCAAGGTTTCTCTGAAGTTCCTGGGTAGCACCGTCGCCAGTGTGTCATTCTCAAGTAGGTATTTTAGTCTTTGTCTGATTGCTATTATTGCAGGCCTTAAAAATATGTATTCAGAAGATGCAATTTGCGTCGAAGTGATGGAAATCATTATCAAGTTCTGCCCTTCACCGACGTATAAACACTGTATACCAAGCGTGTTACCTCCCGAGTGAAAGGTCGAGCTAAAAACACTCGGGTGAGACTCGAGCCCACGACCTCACGATCTCCGGCTTTCTAGTGCAGACGTCTTACCACTAGACCACCGAGCTTGCGGGATCGGTTGGCTGGTTCGAATCTGATACATATTAACATATATTATCAATATTAACATATAAACAGTCTTTGCTTTCTTCCAAACCAGTAAATACTGTAGGCCTGATTACAGGTTTACTTCGCACCTTTTTCGAAAGTTGACCATCTCACAGCCGGGGGCGAGTTCCGCCCCCCTCAGATCTTGGCCATCGAGTGACGAAAAATTATGAAACGCGGTACATGCATAGAACAGCTTAATATCAACATACCCAAAAAATGTCATGACTATAGGTCTAAGGGTTTTGGAATGATGGCTAATTAACTATTCATATGCACCAATGGTAATTCTGTTTTGTGTACACTACGTATATGGGGAAATTAAGTTTCTGCGCGGCAACCCGTGCCCCGAATTTTATGTTTTTGGTATCAAAAGATGCGCAAGGCTCGAGGCTAAAACGTCAGGACAGCTCGGGAAGCGAACACAAAAATTGCAAGGGTACTGCGGAAAAAGTTGAAGGGGGGGGGGGGGGCAGATTCCGCCCCTGCCCTTTCAGGGTTAAGCGACAGAAATGTATTTTAAGCCATCGTAAAAAGTTTCATGACATTGCAAAATTTGAAATTTAAAATTTAAAAGCAAATTAGCCATATCCTGTCTGAAGCTCACGTATGCGATGTTTTACATGGGCAATCGTAGTTATATTCCTTGGCAATAACGAACTGTTTTGCACCTAATCAAATATGGACGTGCCATAAATATTTTAGACCTGAATTCAAACCCCCCTTGTTTTGAAGATTTCTGGGAATTGGGGGATAAGTTGAAGAAATGTTACTAATTCCCGGGGGAATATTAAAAGGTGGAACTCGTATGATTCCTATAACCTACCCAAACCAATTGGCAAATTGTTCTCTATTTCTTTTCAGTCGATGACAACGATTACGAAGCGTGTGGCAAGAAGAGTGGTATCAAGGTTTGTCTGTCACTGGTTGACGTGGTCAAGACCTCCAGCTCCTTCTCAGCTAAAACCAAGATCAAGGTGAAAGGAATCGGCAGCAAGAAGTCTGATAGATTCACCATACCTTTAATTTAGCTCGGAACCAGGCCTACTACCAACAAGCCGTTACGTGATGACGATGTTAATTTTGCGTACATTTCACTTGTAGTTGATGTTTTAGTGTAGATGTAAACTTATCTGGATTACATTTTAAAAAAGCCTGCTTCCATCAAAACCATCCTCACGGAACAGACTGATACATAATAACGTCATTTTTGTTTGTTTACGCGTGCGTTTTCTCGTCTCCACCTGGTTGCCGTAGAAAAGCGCTAGTCTATACACAGGGTGATGTCATCATGTTTCATGCCTATTTATTACAATATTTGTTACAATCTTTCTGATTCAGAAACACTAACGCCGCTGTAGAGGGCACTACATCGTAAAAGCAGTTTATGTTTAACAATATGTTGATAGAAACGTATCACGGTATCAAAATTTTCAAAACATAGATAGTGTAAACTTCAATTTACCAAACAGTCAAATTTAAAATGTTAGAATAATACATAATATGGAAATCAAGCTTGTATTCAGATCACCCTCGTGGTTGTAACGAATGACGGTTGGAATAAATAATACATGCTTATATTAGAAGAAACACGATGGTGCTGTGGAATCATAAATTAAATACTGGCAATTATTTTAAGATTAGAAGACACTATAAGCTCGTGTAATCATACAGTTTAAGAATTCGGTAATTATCTGCCGGATAATGGCTCTCCACTGTTCCCTGTCCCCCATAGCAGCAGGTAGGTCTTCTTTTATGAAGCCTGTATCCTGACAAATGCTGTCCACAAAGGTAGTATTCGGTCTTCGTTTGAGTCGTCTGCCATGGGAGGAAGTCTAAGCTGCTAACAGCAAGCTCAGGATGCCTATGACAGTGCCCCGCAAATCTTAGTCTTTTTTCCCTGATCTTGTCACTGATCTTCGGTAAAACGAAAATTAGGAAGCTGTTGTGGCATAAAGTTTTACAATCTCAAAAAGTATATATGTCTAATACGTTTTTAGTGCTAAATATGAATTGGTTTAAAGGAAGCGGTGTCGGGGATGTCGCAAGACCGATATCATATTTCTGGCAGGAACAAGTTGTCCCAGTTTACAACCGTATCGGTGCAACCAAGTAAAATAGGCAAAACATCCGTCCGCCGAACTCAGGAATATTCATTGTTGAACATTCAAAAATTATATTAGAGAGTTCTGCTGAGAGCCAAGGAATTGGAAGATTGAAGACATATGGCACTGCACCTCGGGCTCGGACTTGGGGCTTCCAATTCTGAGCATTTTCGGATACAATTGGATCCGAAGGTGGCGCTTTTCAGCTTTGTTGTGGAGGGATCTTTTTTCACAATGGCTACACTTGTTCAGTTTTCGTTTCAGGGGTGGTATTCTTTGGGTGTGAAATTCTCCAAAAAGTCTTAAGTCACCCCACCAAAAATTGAAAGGAAATTGAAAGATGACATGCTGAACATTATTTTGTCTGTGCAGCCAGAACACCAATGAGAGTTCTGAATATTTTGAAAATAAGGCTGAAGTATGGTGATTTATCAGTGATGTCTATGGAAATATATTTACTTCGTTGCACCTGTATAACCGGGGATTAAATGGAACAACAGCAGAGGGCGCTATACAAGGACGCAATTTTCTTGCAGCTGAGGGCAAGTTCGCGCAAAAATTATTGTTGACCAATGGTTAACCATAGTTCGACTAAAGTTAGCCCGAACTCTGTCTAGCCGACGGTGGTTGAGTACGCTAGTCGACTATTTGGAATCAGACTACCGCGGCTGGTCGCGCAACGATTTATAGCTGGTTATCAATAGCAATTCCCCATAGGGTAGCAGACCAGTAAATAAACTTCCATAGACCACAATGGTAAATGCTCCCACTTCAAAAATTCGGGAAAAATACTCACAACTCTTCAAGGTGTTCGAGACACACATCAAATTAAACCTTATTTCATCATCTTTCATTTTTTGTTCAATTTACGGGGGGTCAACTGATGACTTTTAGGAGAAATTTCAATCTGAAGACGATCACCCCTGAAAATAGTCCTGAAGCCCATCGCCATTTTGAAAAACGATGCCTACACTCCATTGCAAAATAGAGCGCTTTTAGGGTCCAAATTACATCCAATTTACACAGAACTGCAAGCTCCCAGTCCTGTGCACGGCTTCCATCCATATTTTTTACAAACCTTCAAGTTCATGGCCCACAGCATGCTCAAATACCGAAGATTTTGAGGGCATGCAAATCGCGATTTGGCCGGCGCAGGCAATTTCGGACCGATTTACTGGTCTGCACCCTATAAGGTAGCAGACCAGTAAATAAACTTCCATAGACCCCAATGGTAAATGCTCCCACTTCAAAAATCCGGGAAAAATACTCACAACTCTTCAAGGTGTTCGAGACACACATCAAATTAAACCTTATTTCATCATCTTTCATTTTCTGTTCAATTTACGGGGGGTCAACTGATGACTTTTAGGAGAAATTTCAATCTGAAGACGATCACCCCTGAAAATAGTCCTGAAGCCCATCGCCATTTTGAAAAACGATTCCTACACTCCATTGCAAAATAGAGCGCTTTTAGGGTCCAAATCACATCCAATTTACACAGAACTGCAAGCTCCCAGTCCTGTGCACGGCTTCCATCCATATTTTTTACAAACCTTCAAGTTCATGGCCCACAGCATGCTCAAATACCGAAGATTTTGAGGGCATGCAAATCGCGATTTGGCCGGCGCAGGCAATTTCGGACCGATTTACTGGTCTGCACCCATAGTGCGGACGGGACCACCTATCAACAAAAATGGCGGAAAACAAAACTGTATGCGCTAAATTTCATTTTCATTGCACAGTTTTTCCATGTAGCTAGCTTAGCATCATGTCACTTTTGCCACCATTGTACAATAATATTTGCGATTATGTAACATGTCCTAAACTATACACAATCACTATTAGTTGTGTTAATACAGAGAAACAACAAGTGTTGAATAATTGTGCGACCGCCATTTTTTTTAACGGTCGTTGACGGTCGTTGACATGACAATAGACCATTATCATGTTGCAGCCACTTGATTTTTTCCCATTCAGATCAATGTAAAGAAAGCGAGGCTGGAAGGAAAAATAGTCTGTTTTTTTTGCAAAAAAACACTATCATTCAGTACTGTTATTGGATACAGGGAACACGAATAAAATGGTGGAAGCATGATAAAGGTCTATAGTTCGACTAGAGTCGTTCGCACTTCAACTTCAGTGAGCATGCGCTAAGTACGTCACGAATCAACCACTAGTTAACCACTGGTCCTTGCTCGAACTTGCCTTAGACTGAGGGTCTCGGCTGTGACCGTTCGAAATATAATTGGGCATGTCTTGATGGATCCTTCGGCTGGGCACTTCCCAAGGGGGCATTTGCCTTTAATTAAGAACATTTGGGCCTATACTGGTCATAAACATTTTGGTGACCCAGACGTGATATTTCAAGCATTCACCAAGACACATGTCCGTCAAGATATGTGTCAAGAGAAGCATGTCCGCCTCTGCTTCAGACAATTTCGGTCGTCATATTGCAACCCTGCAAGTCTCTCCTCAGTTAAGGGGGGGGGGGGGGGGATGACTATACGGCAACATCCTAAAATTGCCCCACCGTGGAATTGCGTGGAGGGGACATCATGTGACACTATAGGGGCGTTGTTCTATATACTTCATGATGTTGCGCGATTAACCTTACATACAAACAGTGCATTGTTTGCTTCCGTACTGTTTGTTTTCCATATTTCAAAATAATTGAATACATTGGATCGTTGGACAGTTACAAGATAACCTCAAATTCGGCAGTTTATATTTCTCATCACAAAAAAATGGGGGATAATACAATGGTGCGTTCCCTTTGTCAACCGTGGTATGGGGATATATCCTTCCCATCCCGGGATTTACGCTCATGGTTTGGTGGACAGCGTCACGTAAACAGCGCCACCTTCGTTGAAATGGTGTACAGCCCTCCTCAGGCTTTTCGTTTTATTTTGCAACTTCTAGTGCGGTGTTATGAGTTTGCATGCCTCACGCTAGTCTTGGCCCAAGACGTCCGTGACTAAGAGCAATAGTTGCATTGTTGTGTAACGTACTTGCATAATTGTTTGTTACTTTCTCGCACTATAGTCTTTGTCATTTCGCAGCAATGGGGGCGGGGCCATTTTATGTCGATAAGACCATCTGTATAAATTCGAACAAATCTGTTTATAGATCCGTGCTTGATCATCGCACGAATCTAGATCGTTGATTGGTTCCCTAGGAAAGCGCTGATATGATGCTCGATAACCTATCGCGGGACGTGTATGTTTAGAACCATCGGGCGAGCCATTAAACCTTCAAGTCTCGATCGCTGATTGGTTCCCTAGGAAAGCGCAGATGCTCGATCACGTGTCGCGTGACGTGTATGTTTACATCCGTCGGGCGAGCCATCGAACCTTTTCTCGATCACTAATTGGTTCCCTTGGAAAGCCTACGGAGAAAATGAGTGCGTTCGATTACCCCCCCCCCCCCCAGCTTACTCGCGCCTGGCTCCTCGCGTAATGACAGACATGCGCAGTGGAGCTAAATAAACGAACGGGATATTTGAAATTGTAATAGTTTGTCCGGTCAGTAGTTTCGTAAGCGTATGATCCGAATATTTTTGGTAAGGCGGCAGAATGCTATGCCCGAATCTATAACAAATTAGCTCAAGTTATTTACTGACACTCGATGAAATGGGCCATGTTTCGTCGACCATAAACTTGAAAAAATGGACTGTCCGTGGCAAACTCTGCTTCTGCTTCAGTACTGCGTAAAGGGTTATAATCAAACTCTTGGTGGCGCACTGCATTGTGAATTGCCCAAATATTTGCCAGACTCTTTCTGAAACACCGTACGCCGACAGAGAGGGCGCTACATTATTAAGACAATAGACATTAAACGTATCACGGCATCGCAACTTTGAAAACCTGGGAAGTGTCAAGTTCAAACTACCAAACAGTCAAATTTGAATATTCTAGACTTATATGGCAATCAACCTTGCTTTAGGATCAGTCTCAGTATTGTAACGAACGCGGAATGGATTATATTTTATCTTTTGGTAGTTATCAAAATTCGATGGAGCTGCTTGTATCTTTGACATTGTCAGAGATAACGTTCAGACTGTAATGCAGACTCTTCATTATTTTCAGCAGTAAAATAACCTCGCAGAACAGAAGCAAATCGATCTGCAATTATGATAAGTTCATAACCTTCATCGGACAATATTTTCAAGCCAACATTATGATTAAGCTAGTCAATTTGACTAGAATTCGGGGGAAAAGTTATTGGAGTTTTGGGGTCATCGCATATATGTTATTAACAACCACACATTGATGGTTTTGTTTTCACATTGCGACATTGACTGCTAGGGATTGGTCGTACATAATATGTAATAACATAATATGTAGTAACCATTTATTAATTAATTAATAAATTCATTAAAAAGATCGATGATGCACCGTACGAAGCCTAGCCTAGTAACAGTTTAGAGACAAAGCCACATAATCTGTATTAATATCTAATATCAACCTCGTCCCCATTGTGTGGAGCAGTTAACCGTTAAGGATTTAGTGCTAAATAATTAGTTTTTTCAATGTAACATTTGTCC